TGGGGATGCTGGGGATGCTGGGGATGCTGGGGATGCTGGGGATGCTGGGGATGCTGGGGATGCTGGGGATGCTGGGGATGATGAGGATGATGAGGATGATGGTTGGTGTGAGGTGAGCCAGTACTTATGATGGGAAAAGGACCAGGTAGGACAGGCAGGCAGACCGGCAGGCCTCCAGGCCTCCAGGCGGCAGATGGCTGCCTGGCTGCATGGCGGTGGGCGCCTGGCGACAGGGATGCACATCCCGTGGGGAGAGTGTATCAACCCGTCCATGGGTTACCCAAAGTATACTTGGCTGGGTGAGTAGAGGTCGTATGCCAGCAGGAGCAAACAAAGCTAATCCGGGGATTTGGTCTAGTGGGAATCATAATTCATATTATAGTATCTCTCACGGAAGGCACTCTTGTCATCGTTTCTACATACTCTCAGCCCAACCTAGGTATACCAGCTAGGCTCCGGCACCTCGCCCAGCAGGGCATACCGCCCCAGCTCCCGATTCTTGTACGCCACCGGGTCATGCAGCGTATGCGTGCGAATATCCCGCCAGAACCGGTCCAATCCCACCTTGAGGGACGTGGCTCGGGCGCCAGTCACCTCGAAGACCCCCGATGTGACTCTGAGCCCGACATCGGTGGTCACTACCTTGACACTGGCAATCCACTCGGCTACCTCCCCTCGTTGTTGACTGGTCAACCCGGGGCGATTGTCCGAGTGCTGGCTGTATAGTGTGGCCAGCTCGTTTCCTGCCCGGTCGGCCAATGCCTCCGCGGCTCGGAGATGCGCGAAGAAGTTGCCGTATCGCTCCAGAATATAGAATTCTTCCGTGGGAGAGTCTTTGTTGTCACCGCCAAACGGCCACGCGCGAGTCGAGGTCACGGTGTACTTGGATGCGAAGTCGAGGGCGCCTTGAGCGATTCCCAGGTAGAAGTTGCTGAAGACGAGTTGGATGCTATACCGGTTAGACTTGATCCTCATATAAATGCAGGGAGTAACCTACGTTGGCAGTAAGAGACTGGCGAAAGGCACCTTCAGGACATCGTCGCGCGGTGTCTTGGAGGCCGTATCCCAACCCAGGGCATCAGCCCAGGGTACGCGAACATTCTCAATCTTCACACCACCGGACTCGGTCAAGCGCAAACCAATGTTATGCCAGTTGTGTGCGAACTGAATGCCCGGTTGTCGGGTCTCGACCAGAGCGAAGATGTGCTCGCCGGTGTTGTCCAGGACACCTTCCAGGACAGTGAGATCCGAGACGACTCCACCGGTGTTGAAGAACTTGGCGCCATTGAAGACAATGTCCTCGCCGTCGGAGGTGATCTTGAGGTCGCTGTCCCGCGGATTGACCGCGCCGCCCACGAAGTAGTTGTTGGAGATGATCCACTCCTGGATACGCTCGGCTTGCTCGGGGGTCCCCACGATATTGGCCGTGGTGGACCAGAGGAGATGATAGCCGAGGAGCATGCCTATGGACCTGGTATGCAGTCAGCGTTATGTTGCTTTAATGAGCTGAAATAGTCCAGGGATACCCATCTCCCTTGGCGACCTCGCGAATGGCCTTGTATCCAATATCCCACGGCTGCTCGCCTCCGCCGTACTTCTTCGGGCCCAGCAGCTTCAGCAACCCGGAATGTTTGAGCAGGACGACCTCGGCCCGCGGCGACTTGTTTTCTTGGTCGCGTTGGGCTGCATCCTGGCCCAGCACCTGCGCGACTTCACGCGCCCGGGCCAGCCAGGCATCAGCAGTGTCGGGCAGAGCAGACCATTTGGCCTGGTAGGAATCATAGACAGCGGGGTCGGTAGCGGGGACGTCTGACTGAGTCATGATGAGGTTATCTGAGAATACTACGTCGGAGTGTGAAGCGTTTGAGCGTGTGAGATCAAGCTGGCTCTTCGGTGTAGCGGGGCGGGTATATATTGTGTTGGACTCAAAAATGCGATGGCGCAGGAACCTTGCAAATGACGCGCGAGGATCACGCCATCTCCCGCCCCTGCAGAGAGATATCGCATCATGATCGACGAGGCAGTTCATACCATGCCAATCCTCGAGTGGGGGAGGATGTCGTTATCCGGCCGAGAATGGCACAACACTAACGAATCCGTTGCGATGCTAATTGCTACTGCTACCGCCGCTATCTCTTTGTCCATCTACCACTAAGTACGGAGTCGTCCTCTCGGCTTCCCTTCCTCCAATCACTCCTCCGCAACGGCCCTCTTCCGCGTCTTCGCAAAATACCGCGAGGTATCCCCCAACGGCAACTCCACAAGACTATTCTTCAACAACAAATGCAACACAATATACCACCCCACCAGCCCTGCCACGAAACAAAACACCCCCCCGGACTTTTGCAGTGCCACCGACGACGCGTGGTGTCCGTCCGCCTCAGCAAAATAGCTCGCCGCCACGGTCAGAAACCCCAAATCCACCAGGAAAAACACGGCAATGTACGCCAGATTACTGGGCAGAGAGGCCATGAGGAAGGTGAATACGAACACGGTCCACAGGATCATGAAGAACCCCAGCGCGTTGTTGTATTGTGTCGTGTCGGAGCCGTAGGCTTGGGCTACTCCGAAGGCCGGGGTTAGGATGGCGCCGTAGCCGGCGTAGAAGAGGCCTACATGTTATTTTTTTATCAGTCTTGGTTGGATCTGAGAGGGAGATAATGAGTGTACTCACCGAAGGCACTAAACACCGTATACGCGAACCCATTTCCCACGGATAATTCCCACTGCGCGGTGATGACCAGTCCAAACGCAGCGATGAAGAAGAAATTTCCCACGTAGACGTTGGTGATGGTCACACCGCGCCATTCCATCAGACTGAGTGATAAGGTTGTCAATGTCGTTCCGAATGCGCCCAGAGCTAATGCGGACTGCTCGTGATGTGAGCACGGGACGATGCAGAGGAATTGATGGACTTACCCCGGCCCCCAGCGACTTCGGAGCTACTGCTGCAGTGGCAGCCGAGCCTTGTCGTTCGAGATCGAATGCCTGGGAGACATTCTTGCTTCCTGTACTTTCTGTGGCTATGGTAGTCGACATCTTAAGAGACGGGGTTGATGGACTGTTGGTTGCATGAGGTTGCTTTTTTACTGAATGGACTGTCAACTATCATTGTATTAATTATCTACTCCGTAGGAGATAATCCACGGATCCCAATAGTCGGATCCATTGCGCCATCGGATGGTATAGTGGCGAGCCGTCAGTTGGAGAACACCGGGATCTGCTCATGATCGGCATGAGCCTACGGATCAAGGACAGTCTACATTCAGGTAACAAAGCCGAAGCATGACAATAGCTTATTAGGGATTCAATCAATACAGGGCTCCAGGTAAGCTAAGCGTGCAGGCGGGTGATCTGCGGATGGTCTCATGAACCTTCGGATGAGGTGCTCGGCTCACTTTTCGGACCAACTGCCTAGTAGCTGCGGTCAATCCAATCCCCCCACGTAGAGCCCAGCACGGTCGTCTTGTCCACCGCTGCCGAGATCGAGGTTTCGTACTCGCGGTCAGATGTATCCGAGCCCGCCCCCGAGTTGTTGTACTCATAGTACAACGGAGTCGCACCCTCCGCCATGGTCGTCCATCCCTTGGGGTTGATGATATCCGACAGCACCGAGTTCTGATAAATCACGCGAGCGAGCACCCGCCAGGGCCGGCCGAGGTAGACCTGCTCGGTGAGAGAGACTCCCGAGGCGGCCTTGATGTTGCAGTTGTCGATCGCGTACCAGCCCGAGTCGGAGGTGGTCTCGCGGGAAGAGGCCGTGATGGCGCCGGCGCCGTTCGACACGATATCGCAGTCGCCGAACCAGACGGACGCATCTCCGAAGATGTAGTCGACAGCTCCTGCAGGCGAGTTAGTCAATGGGATCTCTCAGGGTCGTTGGACGATGGCTTACCCTCAATCAAGCACTTGGAGTAATATTGTGTGCCGGCCTTCACATACAGGGTATCCTGGTACCCGGTGAACTGGCAGCCATAGAAGCCCAACTCATTTGCGTTTCCGACCAGACTATTGCGGTAGGATAATTAGCCCACACCCATCACTTCGTTACAAAGAGAGGCAGGATCTGACTTACGCGACAGCCTGTTCCCCCTTGCCGTATCCGTTCTCGACGTTGACATTGTACATGCTGAACCCATCAGACACCACGTTGACCGTGGCGCTCTTGTCGAGGGAGCCTGCATCCTCGGACGAGATGGTGTGGGTGATGGTGACCACATTCTCCTTGTAGGTGGCCGTGTCCGTGGTCTCGCCATAGATGGTCAGGTTGCCCGCATAGTCGATGGTGAGCTGTTCCTCATACGTGCCGCTGGCAATGTAAATGCAGGCGGACGAAGTGGAAGATCCCAGGGCGTCAAGCGCGTCTCCGATCGTCGAGTAGGTACCATCCGAACCGACCGTCAAACAGCCCGAAGGGGCGCTCGTCCGGCTATCCCTCTTCTTGAGGTTGTCCGTGGGAGCTCCGGTCGCTGTGACGGCCAGGCCGACAAGGGCACTCAGGAGATATGATGTATGCATCGGGATTCCGGTCGGTTTCAATAGGGAGCAGCAAGTGAGGGAGTGATGTGCAGGAAAGTGTCCCAGAAGAGGGATGGATTTGCAGGACGCCAAGTGACTATATATCCTGCTGCAGGGCGAAACCCTTCATAGCCCTCGACCGGTACGTGGACATTTCCGAGTGACCGGGGTGACGATTCTGCTGCAGGCACTCCGGGTGGCTTGACAGCTGCCAAGCGCCAAGGGCCGCCATTGCCGGAGAATTCCCCCCCACAATTCCATGAATAGACACGGGCCAAGGGGGTGTTTCACATGGGAGCTCTCGCTCGTCAGGAACGCTCCGGCCAACCCGACGGTCTTCCGTGACGAATTGACAGCGGGGTGCCATCGGAGAGCTGCAAGGACCCAGGGGAACGACGATCACAGCTAGTTCTGGCCCTCGCAATTTATCCGGATCGACAATGCTTGGACATCAGCGGGATCCTTTGGCCCCTGTAACGGTCGGTTGTCACACGTTCGTGGGCGGGGGTTTCATGGTGACTCGAAGGATCCAACAGCCTCTCGGCAGTGTGCAAGGAAGGGTCCCTGTTCGCGGTGGGGATGAACCCCTGCCATGCCTCGACACGGGCCCTGGAACGGCCCATTTAGCCGAGCCTGAGCAGGCCCAGTGCAAGCCAGTTTCTCCGTCCCTAAATTAAGCGCCCCAGTCGTTTCAGGGTGCCCCAGCCGAGATGACAGGGCTGCCTCGGCATGCCTTCGTAGTGGATGCTGTTTCCCTGCGACATGGTCCACCTGCCAGTCCACCCGGCTCCACGGGCATGACAGGGTTACTCCCGACCACATGGTGTGGATTGTATATAGGGTGAGCCTCGCCAAAACTTCATCGCCACCCTGGTTCCAGGGCTGTCGATAACACCAGTTGCAAAGGTTTCCACTATGGCTCTGTACCGCAGTCTTTTCCTTCTTGCCATTGTTGGCCTGAGCAATGCTGCTCCCTCTAAGGTGCAACACCGCCCAGATGCCGCGCTTCACCCTCGTGCTGTCTGTACCCCAACCGCCGGCGGGGATTCGTCAACGGACGATGTGCCCGCCATCACCGAGGCCCTCGCCTCGTGTGGAAATGGGGGCACGATCGTCTTTCCCGAGGGCAGCACGTACTACCTCAACAGTGTTCTGGACTTGGGCAGTTGCAGTAACTGCGACATCCAAGTGGAGGGACTGTTGAAATTCGCCAGCGACACCGACTACTGGAGCGGCCGGACCGCCATGATCAGTGTCTCCAAGGTGGACGGGATGAAGCTGCGATCGCTGACAGGCTCTGGCGTCATTGATGGAAACGGCCAGGATGCGTACGTGATTGTTCCCCATCAGAGGCTCTTGGCAAGGGAGAGAACTGACCGATTCTTCCGCAGATATGACCTCTTTGCGCAGGACACCAGCTACAAGCGCCCCACCCTCCTGTACATTACGGGGGGCAGCAACATTGAAGTCTCTGGGCTGCGCCAGAAGAACCCGCCCAACGTATTCAACTCCGTCAAGGGGGCCGCCACCAATATCGTCTTCTCGAACCTGCGCATGGACGCGACCTCCAAGTCGGATAACCCGGCCAAGAACACGGACGGCTTCGACATCGGCGAGAGTACCTATGTTACCATCACCGAAGTCACCGTCGTCAACGATGATGACTGCGTGGCCTTGAAGCCCAGCTCCAACTATGTGACCGTGGACACGATCAGCTGCACAGGCTCCCATGGTATCTCCGTGGGGTCTCTGGGCAAGTCGAGCGACGACTCGGTCAAGAACATCTATGTCACCGGAGCGACCATGATCAACTCCACCAAGGCGGCCGGCATCAAGACTTATCCGAGTGGGGGCGATCATGGTGTGTCCACGGTCAGCAACGTGACGTTCAATGACTTCACCGTGAAAAACTCCGACTATGCCTTCCAGATCCAGAGCTGCTATGGCGAGGATGACGACTACTGCGAAGAGTACCCCGGCAACGCGAAGCTGACGGACATTGTCGTGTCGGGCTTTAGTGGTACGACTAGTGACAAGTATGACCCGGTCGTGGCCAACATCGACTGCGGCGCGGATGGGACGTGTGGCATCACCATCAGTGGATTCGAGGTCAAGGCCCCCTCAGGAGATGCGGAAGTGCTGTGCGCTAACACCCCGTCGGACCTGGGGGTGACTTGCACATCGGGGGCCTCGGGCTAGAGGCCTCGGCCGGAAGAGGATCCTGGTGTCTATGTGCTGCCGATCGTTGTCATTAATGTTAATTAATCTGGGTCATGAGGCCCACGTCATGGCAAAGTAGTGTAAACAGTCAATGGACACATCATGTCAAAATCAGCAGAACACACCCATATCTTGCGCCTTTTTGATTGGCCATGAATAGCTAGTAGCCTTTTCATCAATAGTGACAACCCTCAACAGACGGGCAGAGGTACTCTTGAGCATGCATCAGCGGGGTAAATACCTCTGCAGAATTTTCAACATGTGGCACCACTGCTGGTATGTCGGCGATCGCAACCTTGTCTAGGGTATTCTCCGTTTCCCCGCAAGGAGCAAGTGGCCTATCATGGAGATAGGGGCCCGGGCCCTTCGGTCAGTGCTGCTGATTGATCTCCGCAATTCCAGGCTGGGGATGTCATCGGTCTGGAGAACCCTCCCATCCGGGATAACACATATCCGCGCTTCCCGTATCCCAGTCCCTCCACCAATCGCCCATCTACCGGGCGACCAGCACGTCCGTTCAGAGTCGGAGGTCGGAGACAAACAATGCATCCGACCCTATGGTCGCTCCTCCTTTCGGGTTCTTTTCCGGTCCGTTGGATAGATGGAGGAAAGCGTGGGGATTCTCCACGGGATGGCGGTCGACATTTAAGATCTCGGGACAACGCGCAGTGATGCTCTCCTATGAGCCCGGATCTCGATCGTTCAGAGGTTGTACATTGGCACCATGAAGTTGCTTTGGGGCCTCGGCTCCCTTTTCGGCTGTGCGACAGTCGCTTTCGCCAAAATCGATCCTCCTTACTATGCCAACCTGACCTGGCAGCCGGCTCGCAGTCTCTCCAACTGGTCCAACCTGACCGTGGAGACGCAGACGGGCACCTTTATCGGCATGCTAAACGACACCTATCCCAATGTTCGGCAATTCCTGCGAATTCCGTATGCCAAGGTCCGTTGCAACTGACCCTCTGCATATTTTCATTTTCCTCCTAATAGGTCTGTCTTAGCCACCGGTTGGAGACCTTCGATGGCTGCCCCCGCAAAAGCCGGACAAGTCGCGCAGAAAGTACGACTCGACGCGGTACGGTCCTGGTATGTTGCAGTCCACAAACCTCGGATCCATCTACTGATTCGCCTCGAGCCTGTCCACAATATGTCAGTGGCGAGAGCTCCATGTGGAACGAATATGCTCCCCCCAACCTATTGCTTAGCCTGGGTGAAGCCCTGAACCAGGGAGCGGTGGCCTGGTCTTCGGCGGAGGACTGCCTCTCCTTGGCCGTGTGGACCCCATCTTATGCAAATCGGACCTCTAAACTCCCCGTGGCACTCTTTGTGACCGGTGGAGGAGGGACAACGGGAGGCATTGAAATCCCATCTCAGCTGCCCGCCCCATGGGTCTCTCGGTCGCAGGAACATATTGTGGTGACGATCAATTACCGCGCCAATATCTTCGGAAGTATGACTCTCCCTCTTAGCATAGTGGCATGCTTATTAAAAATGTCTGTTAGATCCGAAATCCAGGGCCCTGAACGAAACGTCACTCACGCTCCTGGATGTCAGGGCGGCGGCAGAATGGGTGCATGAAAACATCGAGGCTTTCGGTGGAGATTCGCAGAACATCATGGTCAGTACTGAACTTATTTTAAGCTATACGGCGACTGATGTCATGGTAGCTCTGGGGTCAATCACAAGGGGCGGCCTTGACGCACCTCTACACCCTCGCCTTTCCCGACGACCCTCTCGCAGTCAAGTTCGGGGTTATTTCGCAACCACCCTCCGTCACCATCGACATGAGCACTACCGACGATGTCTACCAGGACTTCGACATCGTCGCCAAGGCCCTGGGTTGCAACTACGGCGATGATGCTGAAGCCGAGCTCGAGTGCATGCGTCAGGTGTCTTGGGTCCAGATCGAGGAGTACATCAACCGGTATTCAGGCTCACCGTCAATCGCATTCAGTAACTATATCCGTCAGTCGTACTTCTCCGTTCTCTGGTCCGCATACTGACCTCAATGCAGCTGATGAAAAGTACATCTTCTCCAATGAATCGCAACGGTATGCCGAAGGAAAGGTAGCCCGGGGACCAGCCATCCGGTCCGATGCGGCCAGGGAAATGGCATCGGATAATACTACCTCAGTCATGATAGCGGAAGGAGAATGGGATTGCAGGGCAGCCGAGGACTCAGCCCGGCGACGGGCTCTAGGGCTCGATACCTATCGGTACTTCTGGGCCGGCAACTTCTCCAACATCAGTCCTGTGGACTGGTTGGGTGCCTTCCACTGGTCCGACCTGCTGATGATCTTCGGCACCTACCGAGAAGACGTGGGTGAGATTCCACAGTTGGAGGTGAAGACATCGGAAACCATGCAGGATCACATCTTGGCATTCCTAAAAGATCCATCCACGGTTAACGTTACCGTCGGGTGGCCGGCGTTCGATGCGGATAGTCCTGGCGGTGGTAAGATCCTTGAATTCGGGAAAGGGGCCCCGGTGCGCATGGTGACTGGAGACTGGCTTGATGGCGGGTGTTATAACTCCTCAATTCCCTTCCGTATCTGGGGTTGAGCGGGAAACATGCATGTGGACAACCATCGTCAACGTTGACGTGTGTAACGTTTTCCAAATGATTTGTTAGTGTTCCGTGAAGGTGTTTTGAGAGTCAAGGTCCGTGGCTGCTAGCGAAAGATGCCAAAAATAGTTTAATTCAAAAGAGAATCATTACATCGTCAAGATTTAGCCCTCCTCTCAATACCGTGGTGATGCATCATCAGGGATGCCCAACAAATCTCCCACCGGGTGACCCTCCATCCATGCATCCATCGCCTCATACAACTTGAAGAACGCTTCATTATCCATCGTCGGCAAATCATTCAGAATCGGTTGTCCTAGTTTGGCCTGCGCCACGGCCAAATACTGATACCCCTTAGGGTATTTCTCTAGCTCCGCCCGGTCAAACTTGGGCACGGTCTGGCCATCTGCGGGCGTGACCTTATCCTTCTCGTAGAACAGTTTGATATAGACCACTTTCCACTCGCCGTCTTGCTTGAGGCAGAAGTTGATGAAGCGGCAGTCGCACTCCACGTCGAACTCGACGCCGTCCCAGTCGAAGCGCTGCGTGATGGTCGCCTTCATCTTGCCGATAGCACGGTTGGTAGCTGGGTTCAGGTCCACGAGGGTTCCATTCTCACGATGCATGATATGGTCGCCATTAGCGCGTCCTTCGATGGACGTAGATATGAAGTCATCGATGGGAAGACCGCCGCTCCAGGCTGGAGGGATATTAGTGCTGTGTAGGCAAGCAAGGGATGTTGCTGGTTGGACATACTGGTGAAGACGAATGCGCCGTCCTTGGCAAATAGGCTGCGGTAGTGCTTCCATTCCGAGGCATCACGATACACCGGCCATCCCTTGCAGAGCTCGGAGACGCAGTAGCGGTCGAGGACGTCGGCCTCGGGGCCGTTAATGTGGCTCCAGATGGTGGGTTGGGTTTCTTTCTCGGTAATGTTGTAAACCATGGTGGCTGATGCTTGCTCGTAATGATATGGCAGGGACGAACAGCCTGTGCAGCCCTATATAGCCATCGATCTGAATTGTGACAGGCCATGACATCATTCCCGACCGTGGTTGAAGCTGGCCGGGAAAGCTGAGGCTTTCCGTAGCATCCGGTATCTATCTCCCATCCTGTTCTCAACTGCCGACTCGGCGACCCGACCCCGTTGCGGGGATTACTATAGCGTCATTGGCATCTCTGAAACCTGACGAGGGAATGGACGCAACTTGGTGTTGTCCGGCCAGGGGACGGCTGTGGTAGACATGAAAGTGGGTGTTCCGTGTTCTGTCGTGGACGTTGTCTGCTGTGGGCATGCTGAATCCCAGCATTCTTTCATGGAAAGCGGACTGATAACGTTCTCAAGGTATAAGTGGGACGCAGAAGAGATCAATGGAGCCTTGACGAGGGAAGCTTGGGAGTGGGAGTGTTGATCTGCGACCGGGACCCTCTCGGTCATCCGGTCGGCTCGGGATTGTTCCTGGCTCGGGTCGGTCTAACCGGAAGCAGTAATCAGCTTTTATCGTGCTTCCAAAAAAAATGTCCATCCACTGTTCGCCTGCGAACACGGCCTGCATAATAGTCAGCAACTAGTCGAGCTTTGGGTCTCACTGTATTCCTGTCTACTTGGAACTCTGTGGAGCAGAATTGTTGTTAAATGAGTTGCAATTCCCGCAATATTGGGACTAATCACCCGTGGTGTTGCATCTGCACATGAATCTATATATTCTGACCCCAGCGGTCCTATGCTACCAGTGGTATGAATACTTGGAAATCATTCTGATAATATTATGTGGCCTAATTTGATGGATAGAACATTACCATTGGGAGTCAAAGATGGCAAATCAGAATTAAAGAAACATTTATTTCTCGGAATTCAATTCTTTGGATGATTGGAATAGGCACTACTCCGTCCTACCCTTCTGTACCGCGACGATTTCAATGTCTGCGTTGCCTGCCACCGTCCGTGCACGGGTTGCGCGGTCGCGCCGGCTTTGTTTCCCCCCCACTCCATGCTTCATCTCCGCTTCATCCACCAAGTCGGTCAGTTAGTTTTAGCAGATCGCATCACAGCTGATCCAATCACTGTCTTATCTTCGAGTGCATTTGATCTCAGTACGGGCCACTATTCCCGATCGCATGCTGAAAACCATATGATGCGCACATACGAGAAGAGTTACGACTAAAGAAGCAGAGCATGAATGGCAGAAGATGAGATCCCATGAATTATTACTAACAGTTCAATCCCTCGTCGGAACAAGTCCCCAATCAGGCCACCCACACACCCCACGAAGCCTGGGAAAGATGATATGTACATGTCAAAGGAAAGAAAGTGAAGGCAAGTGGCCGGCCTATGGATTAGATCCTTTCACTTGCCCCTTTTGCTATTAAGACCCTGGATTAAGAAGGAATAGTACTAACTATGAGAAAAGTAATAGGAGACCGAGATACTTTTTTTTTTTGAAACGATCCACGACTAGAGGTGGACACCCACGCCGGACGTGGATGTGCCGTGGTAGTTGCCCAAGTAGTCGCCCAGCTCCGAAATCGCCAGCTGGCGAAGCTCACTGCGGAGGACTTTCCCTGACTACAATGCGTTGGTTCGTTAATATACCAGTCGCCGATGACAATAAGAGGTGGGCTATGGACATACCGCATTCCGAGGGATCTTCTCGATGAACGAGATGCCACCTGAGAGGCGCTTGTACGGGGGCAGCTTCTCGGAGATGAGCTCGTGGATCTCCTCTGCCGTCACCGTGGTCTTCGGAGAGGTCTGGATATAGGCTCTGGGGCCCTCGTCCTCATTCCTACAGGAGTTAGTTAATCCTCAGAGAATGACACATAAGGCTTACACTGCGACTCCAATAACCCCAACATCGCACACATGTGGATGCTGAAGGAGCACCGACTCAATCTCGACGGGTGAGACATGGCTTCCACAGACTTTGATCAAATCCTGCAGCGGTGGTGAGCACAGATCGGCTTTGGTGAGAGTGAGAAACATAATAGGGGTGTACCTTTTTGCGGTCGACGATATACCAGTTACCTTCATCATCGACGTATCCGACGTCACCCGTGGAGACCCAACCTTCGGCCCCGATCAATTGTTCTGTCGCGGCTGGGTTATTCCAGTATCCACGGCTCGACCCTGGCGTGCGGATCCAGATGTCTCCCACTTCGCCGGTCCTCAAAGTCCGAGAGGGGTCGCTAGAATCGGTCACTTTGCCTTCGTATGTGGCGTTCAGCTGGCCAACAGTCTCCGACTTAGGAGGTCGCAGTGGATCTGGCCCAGTAATAGTTCCCGTCCTATGATAAAGGGTCAGCAACGGAATGTCAGCAAGAACGAGTCGCCTACTCTGTCAGTCCCCAGGCACGGGCGACGTATCCAATCCCCAGGCTTTCCAGCTTGAATTTGGTGAACTGGCTCATGGGAGCAGCACAGCCTTCAACACGGCGGAGGCAGGCCAGGTCATATTCTCGACAGATGGGCGCATTCTTTGCCATAGCCGTGAGGACGGAGCTACGAATGATGGCATCCGTAATCTGAAACCGCTGAACCGCTTCACAGATACTTCGGAAGTCGTTGCGTCGCATCAGGTACAGGGGGACACCCATCCTGGGGAAGATGACGCAATATGACCGCTGGCCAACACTGTGATTGATCGCCAAGGAGCCCAGCACGCGGACATTTTCTGGGCCTCCCAGTCGAGGATTGTATCTCCAAGCCGGATGCGAGGAGATGCGCCGGGTGTATCCCAACGCCGCAGCAATGTAATTGCGATGCGACAGCTCCACGCCCTTGGGGTCACCAGTAGTACCCGAAGTGAAGAGCATTAGGATTGTGCTGTTATAATCCCGTGCGGAGACAACATTGGGATACCAGAATCGGGCCCCCTCCCATTCAGACGCCACCATAGTGTGCCAGTGTTGAATAGGTCCTTCTGGTTGGGTACAGCCATCCAGGAAGTCGTCGTCAAACATGAAAATTCGACTGTCGGGGTGATTGGCCTGGCGCGCAGCTTGGAGGGCTACTGGAAGGGTGGCTCGACTGGCGAAGATAACCGAGGGTTGAGCGAAGGTGATCAGGCGATAAAACTCGGGCTGGTTCAAAGCAGGTTGTCCTGACGCGAAGATGCACCCAGCCATCACGGTGCCCATAAGGAGTGCGGGATAGCAGAGGGCATTGCTGGTCACACATAGAATGCGGTCTTTGGGGTTGACCCCCAACTTCTGCAGTCCAACCGCCACTCGAGCGGATAGCAGGCGGTATTCTGCGAGGGACAGAGACCGGGTATCCGGGTAGTCGGCATCGATGAGGACCTTTCGGTCACTAAGAGCACGTCGTGGGGAGCCAAAGACGAACCGAGGGAGTGAACATTGAGGAATGGGAGTGGTCCATTTCGAAGCAGTGTAAGACGACCTTCCGCTCTGTAATTGCGACGTGGGTGGATGCATGATGAGAAAAGCTCACGAGAAGCAGCACGGGTTCTTTCACAAAGCTTGTGTGATCGGCTTGATTCTGGCCTTTGATCTCCTAGCACCCTCTGCCTTATATAGCTCTTGTCATGAACATGTCGCGACAGCAAATTGGGTTGGTGATGGGTTTACGTAAATGAGCCTCCTAGCGCAAGCCACGTCGGAGTATCGAACACTGATGCCTGCAGACTGTGAAACTATGAAAAATAGACCGGTCTGGTGGCTGCCGATGACAATCGCAGATCTGCACGTGTGGGGAAGGGGGCTGCCTGGTTTGTTGCAGGCTTGCAGCTGCATACCGATGATCTGCCTGTCCGCCCGGCCTGGCCGTATAGGTCGTCGATCAATGTGATGAAGGTTGGGATCGGTTTTACTCAACTTCATAGCGGCATTTGTTGGGCCCTATCTCCGGAGTTCAGTAGTGGCTCGGACATTTCATTGCTCGGACCGACCGAGGGAGCTGGACTCCCCTGATTATCACACTCCTGGGACCACATCGGCATCACTCTTACGCGACACCCTGTTTCCTATGCAGAGTCTCAATAGACTCGAAAGAGACCAGCTCATCACCCAGGTCGCTCAACAAATCTTGGCCACCTGGGTTGCACAAGGGATGATGTGATAGAGGAGCAGCCGTGTAACGCACTACCAAACACAAGCTCAACACAAGAGGTGCCACGGGGATTTCCATTGCGTACATGCAGGTGCCGGATGCGGACATTGGTCAACAATCCGTCTCTCTCGGGAATCCGTGCGACCCAAGACTTCCTACGGAGATTTGTTCCGATATATGCATACGAGAACCATGGTTCTGGCGCCTGTATTCGCTACTTGATATTATCTACCTATGAGAAGTCGTCCTCGATCTGCAGTGACTTGGCAGATCCCGGCGACGTATCTGAATGAGCGTCTGCTCACACCCTTGCGGCCTTCTGCTTACGGTACTCATGGCCCCAAAGCATGACCCACCACAGGAGCAGGCTGGAGATCACCCACATGACGGCAATCAGCGTTCCCATCCAGCCCATCCCAATCGCATCAATGATCGGTACCGCGGCCGCAACCGCGCCCGCTCCCAGGAAACAACGGAACATTGTGTTGGATGCCGTGACTGTCGCCGCCCGCTGGACGTGGCAATCCATCAGCAGCGTGATCAGCGTGCTGGTGGCCCCGGCGATGGTATGCGCGGTGAAGAACAGCATAATGAGCGGCCCGGCCACATTGACATTGTAGTTCATGACCCAGCCATAGCCGACGATGAAAATGCAGGCCAAGTACACCATTGGCAGAGTGATCTGGAGGCGAGCTCTCTCGACAGGGAATTCGAGAAGGTTCACTTGGCGGTTGTTTACCACCTCCAAGCCCCGCTGCTTGCCGAGCCGGCGGAAATTCCAATCCACAAATCGTCCGATCGTCCACCGGGAGGTGAGACTGCCAATGCCGTATGGGATATAGCACAGGCCGACCTGGAGCGAGTTGTAGTTGTACTTTTCTCCAAGCTGGGAGGATAAACTGCTCAGCACGGCAAAGTATCCGCAGTAAAGGAGGGAGGTAAATGCAATGAGGGCGCCAGTCTCCTTCTCGAGGGCGATCTGGACACTGTCCCACGGGGTCGGTCGTTTGACTTTAGGTGCCTCTGCCAGCTTAGCTTTCGCCGTCTCCTTGTCGACCAGCTGTTCGGGTTTGATGATTGTAATCAGCGGACGGTTCCAGCGTGGAGCCGGGATCGACCCATTGCCGACGACCTGCCGACAGGTCTCGGGAAAGCAGAGGAGGATGAGGATGATCATTGCCCCGGCAAAGATGGCGAGAAACCAGAAGATGCTCTCCCAATTCATGAACTGAGCCAGGACACCTCCAATTATGGGGCCGAGGGCGGGGCCCATGGTGATGCCCAGCGACGACCAGATCATGTATTTGCCTCGCTCGCCGCGGGTTACCACGTCGGCCGTGACAGCCATACCGACGACCGAGATGGCACTGCTCCCGCAACTCTGGAAGGTCCGGAGGACGATCAGCGCAATATAGTTGTCCTGCAGGGCCAGGCCGATGTTGACCCCGATATATGTGATCAGGCAGACCAGCATCGTTGGCCGTCGACCATATACATCCGAGATACTTCCGGTCACCAGAGGGGCCACGCCTTGGAAGATCTGCGCGGGTCTCGATTAGCCAATGCCACTCCACAACAACACAAGGTCGGCTCTTACCATGAACGTGGTGATGGTGAGGTTGATCTGGCTGACGGAGACATGCAAGTCATGAGACAACTGATCGATGGCCGGGTAGTAGATGTTCGCAGATACTGGGGCCAGAAAGCCGACGATCGCGGAGATGGCGATGGTCATGATCTTCTGCCTCTCGGTCAAGACGGTGTAGGGCGGTTCGGGTGGCGTGGTGGACGCCTGAGAGAGTGGCTGAAGACTCGCGCTGCTGGCATTTCCACTCAGCGAGCCGAGCTCAATGGTGTGTACGGTCTCTTGAGGACCCTTGTCTTTTGTGTCTTGCGACATGACGGTGCCTTGGTGCCTTAGGGAGTGACTAATGTTAGGAGAAGGCCTGGGGAGAGAAAGGAGTGGATTGGCGCAAGGAAGCGTAAATCGACCGCGAGAATTGCCATGTCTGGCACTGTTATACGACTCTGCGCGGGCTGCGTCTCGCCTCCTTCGATGACATATGCATCCACGCGACCAGTGCTTAATTTCCCGAAAGGGGTGTTTGAACGCGAAATCATGGTTCCGATGCTCTGGTCCTAGCCGGATTGCTTGAGGAGATTTCCCTTTCGGCGCACGGGTGCCTGGATCCCCAGCGAGGCCACGGACGGCTAACCTGCCTATCCACCGCATGATCTTCAGGTTCAGCCCGCCAAGAGAGGTGCAGGGATCCGGATTGGCAATAACACTCAAGTAATGGAAACTGGAAAAGGAAATGGCGGCAGCTGCAAGGGTCAAATGGGGCCCGCGAAAAAGCAAGCACGAGAAAAGGAACAGCAAAGTGCGCCGAGAAGAAGACGCGACAGCTTCGGCCGCATCAGTCACTGCATTGTCGATCTGGCATATCCACGCTACTGCAACCACTATCGACGGCGAAAATAAACTCCCGCTGGGACTGTCGATCCCGCAGCTGGCGCAAGCCTAAGCCCACATCGCAGACCTGCAGCCGCTCAGCAGAGCTGCCCAGCTCAACAGAAAGTGGTTGTTGAATCATGCCTCGATGGCTTCCCGGGAGGCTTGCGACACCAGTATATAAAGCTGACTCAAATCGGACTCCCACTCCATCAGACAAAGCATTGAAGACAGTGTTCCTTGAAAGTTTCCTGCCAGACACAGGTGTCCATCATGGCTCCATCGATCCAGTTCTTGCCAGAAGGGGACACTTCATCAGGCACATCATATCCTGTCACTCCCGCCCCGGAAGCACCAAAGACTGCCGAACATGCGTACGACGTGAGTCACCCCAAGCCAAGACTAGGCCCATACTAATGCCTGGAAAGGACACCCTCCGCAAGCTGAACCTGCTGGATACCAACTTTGCCTACCGGCAGAGAGCCATCAAGACTCACGACTGGGATGTCTTTATCCAGGACATGTTGCGGTGGTGTCGTGCAGCGGGATATGAGGTAGGTCATCTCGTGCCGCCCATCATTCCTCCGATCTGACAGAGATCTCCAGAGTCCCGATTTCGATCCCTTGAACGCGGTCCATATCGCCGGAAGTAAAGGCAAGGGTTCCACCTCGGCGTTTATTTTCTCAATTTTGTCCGAGTACCAGAGTCAGGAGGTAGGTCATGCAGCTCAGGCGTGTTCGCGAAGCTCCCTCGATTAGTACCCGCTAACGCGAACCCAAGAGCCCAATTCAGAAGCTGGGACTCTACACGTCTCCCCACCTGCGCACCGTGCGAGAACGTATTCGCATCAGCCCATCCAAGGACATGCCCTTCTACCAGACCCCACTGTCGGAGAAGCAGTTCGTGCAGTACTTCTCCGACGTATGGGAGCGACTAGGGCTGACGGATGACTGCGCCAAGGGAGGCCCGCCATTTGCCCGCTTCCTCACCCTAGTGGCACTGCACGGCTTCCTCCAGGAGAAGGTCGACACCGCTGTGGTCGAGGTATGCCTCGGAGGCCGCCACGACTCGACCAACGTACTCCACCGACCCAGTGTCTGCGCGATCACCAGCCTGGCCCTGGAACACACGGATCTACTGGGTGACACTATCGAAGAGATCGCCTGGGCCAAGGGCGGGATCATCAAGCCCGGGGTTCCCGTGTTTACGATTCCTCAGAAGCCTGGCGCTACCCGCACGCTGCAAAAGATCGCCGCCGAGCAAGGCGCGGAGCTGACGATCGTGCCCGTGCACCCGGAGGTGGAGACCATGGAGTTGGGCCTGGCCGGAGAGTTCCAGAAGATCAACGCCAGTCTAGCCATCGCCGTGGCCGCCAGTCATCTCCGCCGCATGGGCTATTCCGGGATCCCCGAGGACATCACGTCCGCCCCCTTACCCGAGAAATTCCGCCGGGCGCTCCGCAACGCCAGCTGGCCCGGTCGCTGCGAGACGCGAGAGTGCCGATCGGGCCGATTCCTGCTCGATGGGGCACACACGGTCGAAAGCATGGACCTGGTGGGCGCGTGGTTCGCCAAGAAGGCCGCGCAACTCGAATCCGCCAAGCGGGTGCTCATCTTCAACCAGCAAACCCGCGATGCCTTTACGTTGGTTCGACACCTGCGGGACAGTATCCGTCGGTCGGCGACGGGGGCCGTCACCGAAGTGCCCTTCCATCATGTCATCTTCTGCACCAACATCGCCTGGGAGAAGAATGAGGCTGCGGATATGGAGCGCGCGTCGATGATCTTCACCGGCAACTCCGGGCCCGAGAACCTCACCCTGCAGACCCAGCTGAGTGGCTACTGGCGGGGTATCCCAGGCGAAGAGATGACGGGCATCACGGTCGTGCGCACGGTAGAGGAGGCGGTGCGATGCGCTGGTGGCGTGGGAAGCGTCGCAGGGCAGTCACCGCTCGTTCTGATCACGGGTAGTCTGCATTTGATTGGCAGCGCGTCGGAGGTGCTGGAAACGCTGGAGGAGGAGGGAGTTCACTTGTAAAAGGAGCTGACGGGGGTAATTTCTTCTTTGCGGATGTACGCTGTCACTTTTCCCATGATCGATGCGAATTGTTGTTGGGGTAGGAGTAGCCATACAAAACGGGGTATAGGCTTTCAGGCAATCCTGGACTATATGCATAGCAGTAATCTAAAACAATCGATCGCTTTCCAAGGCAGAAGGCATGCAGTAATGTCGTGAATTGTAGAAACAGTGTATAGAAACGTATGTACAGTATCGGCTCCCTCGTATGTTGGGCAATTCATGTAGAAGACATCGTCTAGATCAAACCGTCCATGAAATCAAAAGGCCGACTCTTCCCCCGGCCGGCGATCTTCCCATTCATCCCCCTTCCCGACACTCAACCTCTCGTACCGCTCTAGCATGTCATGAAGGCCATAGTTGGCCAACGGGTCTGGGGCTTCACGGGTGTCGATAGCGCTGGTTTCGCCATCCAACTTGGTCAGGTTCTCCGCGTAGCGATCCCAGCGGTCGGGGGTCCGCGACTGCGAGTCCTGCTGGAACAGCTCCTTGATCCCGGGCGGTACTTCCTCCGACTGTTGCACCCGGTCCCCTTGGTTGCGGGACCGCACGGCCAACTTGAAGAGGTGGAACACGCTCCGTCCGAGCTGCGAGCGACAGGCGATGATGGACATGGCGCTGGTCAGCGTCAGGAAGTCCCGGTCGAGGATGTCGAAGTGGTCCTGGTCGAGAAGGGTGAATAGGGCGAGATTGATAGCATACATGGCGAACTGATGGGCGTGCTCCATGCCGTACTCCGACCGGAGTTGTTGCGAGAGGCTGGCGATGGTCCGCGCCGAGGAAATGGCGATGTCCTGGGAGCTGAATCCTTTGCTTCTGGGGGGCGTGCGCTCGTCGGATTCCGACAGTAGTGGGTGGACCCCAAACCGGTCGAAGCAAAGATTGATAACTAGCGTGTGGTATCGCATTCTGTTGTACAAGCCCCGATTTAGCTCTCTGTGGGCCCGAAAACAACCAAAAATCCGTAGCAAGACTCACCTGAGTAAGAGCAGATGCGGGGCCAGTCGCTCAGACGGATCGAAGCTGTCCGGTAGGTTCGCTTCCCACTGGCACAGCTGATCATAGAGATCTTGCTTGCGCTGATCCGGATCGGTCTCCGACCTGACTATCCGAGACAAGTTCCACGAAACATCACGGGCGATGAACGAGAGCTTACACGCTTCATCGAAGTACAAGCTCATGTATGACGGCCGCGAGAGATTGGAGACTGGGTATGGCGTCCACATGTCACTTAGATCAGTGTCGTTCCGATTGATGCGTTCGACGCTCACGGACCTCACGCGGCTCGGTCGGAGGAAGTTGGTGTGCACGACTCTGGCGTCACCTGCGGTCAGAATATCCCTGCGTCAGGGGCAGCACAAAACCTACGTATCGACTTGAAATAGACCCCATGCAGTGCGCCTGACCGAGACAATCATATCCTCGGACATCTGGGATGGCGCGAGATGTAGGTCGGGCTTGTTCACGATGCCTAGCGACTCGGCCATTTCAATGGCGCGATGCAGCATGGTGTAGCCCCAATCATCATGACCTGACAGGGAATATCTGTAAATTAGGACATGATCAGGTCCTGGCCTCGTCGGGGGGAGGCATGTGCCGCCCAGGTGATGACGTACCTCTCATACAGCAGCAGATGCGCTTGCAGAGAAGCCAGGCGGATATCTCCACCTTTTTCAAACTGATGCGATTGTAGGTGGCGCTCGGCCTCGGCTAGGAAGTCGGCACCTTTCGTGCGGACATCCCCGGGGATGGTATACGCTTCGGAATATTGCGAGTAGTACTAGTGGGTTTCACCAATGGAGATTCAGTACACGAGCCTGGCGATCAGCCACCGGCGGACGGAACTTACGCATGCGTTGGCCAGGAGGGCATTCACTAGGAAGGGACTGCAAAAGTCGGACTCGACCTTGCCCATAGCCATGTGTTTGACAAAGATCTGGCTGTCGAAAAAGGCGAAGAAGGGATAGTCCCAGACGAGATACAGGGAGACGAGGTGCGAGACCAGGTCGTCGTCGTCGGTGACGGAGGTCCATGGTTTGGCAGGGAGGCGGTAGGGGGCGCTGCCGCACAAGTAGCGGATATCCATGATTTGCGGGCGAAACCGCGGCGGCTCACTTTCGACCTCGATGCCGCGTCGCAGGCCCTCCAGGTGGTCCAGGGCGTCTTGGTCCGGCGCCGTGGCCCGGGCTTGCGCCAGGGCCTGATCCAGATAGGCGCGCACCTCCTCCAGCGAGGCATGGTTGCGGATCATCTCCACTAGCGTCTGCGCATGGTCGGGCTCGGTGAATTGCACAACCTGGAAGAGGTTGTGCAGCAGGTCCTCATGATAGTTGCCCGAACTGGTGGCGTATTCGGCGGCCGCCCGTTGCATGTGGTGATGCTCCCGGGGAGCCGGGCCCGGGCCTTTCTATGGCCTCTTCATTAACGCGGGTCCTGTCCTTGCACTTCTAGGGAGGACGACCCAGCGGAGGGGGGGGATGGGGGGGCATCGAGGGGGAAGAGAGCACTTACCTCGGGGGGAAGGGCGCCGTTGGGTCTCTTCCTCCGGGTGAACATGGTGGATGCATGGAGGGGACGGTAGGCACGGGAGGGGTGAGGAAGAAGAGGAAGAAGGGACTCGGAATGGTGCCTGAGTGTGGGAAGATGAGGGTGGATCGTCCCTCGTTGGATGATGCCATCATGACATCAAGCTATCGGCGGCGGGGGGAAAGGACTGAGGCGGCCTGCGATCGTCGACACTCATCCTGGATGATGGATCAAATCTGGAGGTGGGATAGATTCCCCGGAGATGCCTCAGTGGTTCTTTGTGATGAAGGGACAAAGACGAAGAGAAAGCGGAGACGAGTAGAGCGGCGTGAAGAGATGGAAAGGTGGAGGAGAAGAGAAGAGAAGAGTGAGGAGGGAAGGTAGATGAGGGGAACGGCTGAGGTAAGCACGCCGACGCGGACCCGAGTTACGGCCGATCTCTCTGCAGGGACTATCAGGATGGGAGGAATGGGAAGACAAGAGCAGGTAGAAACAATGACAGTGGAGAGTCGGTCCCTGAAATCAGCTCAGCACCTTCCTCAGATGTTGTCATGATCTAGGCCCAATGCTTAACCCCAATGACAATTGCGAGTACAATCCGCACTCAAGTATCATGTCCAACCCCGAAGTCTCCTCTACGCTGCAACTGTATTTCCAAGCCTGCAGTGAGATTCATCCTACATTTTACAAGCCACCAGTCAAATCTTGCAGGATGGATACATTACGCATACGGGCCATGTGGAGCAGCCCTAGAACTTCGGGATCGCCGCATTAAACACGCCCCGCGGATCACGCTCCCGCTTCAATTTGCACAAAAACTCGTACTCCGCCCCAAACACCCGTCGCATGTCCAGTTCCTCCGGCGCCGACAAGGCGAGATACGGCGCCGGCAGGATATTCCCCGGATCCGTCCGTGCCAACGCCGTCTGGAATGGCTGTCCCCAGGCCCGAATAGCCTCCAACGCCTCGGGCGTATCCGTGGCCCCGACGATCTCGAACATGTAATGGCCCTCGCGGCCGGGGAAGACGGCGTCCGGGGCGGGGTGGGCGGACGGCGAGGCAGCGCGGAGTTCATGGATGGCGACGAGGGCTCGGGGATCGGGGGGCATTTCCGTGGTGTAGGTGCCTATTGCATCGACAACCTCGTCGGTGAGCTGGCGCAGGCTGATGGTCCAGACCCGGCCGCGACTGTCCTTGGGGGCTAAGCGGGAGGCTTCCTCCAGCCAGGCAGGTGGGGTGGTCTCCTGCACGGAGTGAGACGCGACCGAGGCGAGGGTGGAAATCTTGTCGAGCCAGACCCGCCCGGTCTCGAGGTCGGCAGAACCCCAGAGGAAAAGCACGATGAAGGCCGGGCCGGTGGGGGTGTTGATCACGGCCTGCTGGAGGCTGAGGGCGGCTGGGATGCCTTGGGCGGATAAGGCCTGGTAGCCGTGGTTGTAGTGGCGGATGACGGCGGCCAGATGGCGGGAGTCAAAGAAAAGCACACCGGCCAGGATCTGATCGCGGTTGGGAACTAACGAACAGGACGGGACTGGAAGGGGGAATCTGGAGGCGCACCTTCTCCAGCCGATGCACCGGGACGGTAATCTCCGCCAGGACGCCAAATGCTCCTCCGGCGCCCCGGATGGCTCGCAGCAGGTCGGCATCGGCCTCCACCAGCTCGCCTTGCGCATTGATGACTTTGGCGGCCCGAATCTGGTCGACCCCGAGTCCGAACTGGGTGCTATACGGACCGTAGCCGCCATACAGCGCCCATCCCACGTATCCGACCCCGGAGACGATTCCGGTAGCAGCCACCAAGCCCTGTTTGTGAAGCTGAGCGATGACCTGGCCGAGCAAGGCGCCGCCCCCGATGCGGGCGGTGTCGCCCGAAGGGTCGATCTCGACGTGGTTGATGAGTCGCAGGTCCAGGGTGACCCCCTGGTCCTGGAACGACCGGCCGAAATTGTCGTGGCCCCCCGCCCGCACGGTGAAGGGGATGTCCCGGGCGATCAGAAAGGCCACCAGGGCGACCGCCTCGGCGATGGTTGGGGGCCGGACGATCACGCAAGGATTGAGCGCGGGGAGGCGGGCAAACGCTGTGCGGATGGCGGCATACTCGGGCGAGGCGGGAGTCACCCACTCGATGCTCGGATGCTGGGTTAGAAACCCGTGCAGTTCCTGCACGGTCGCTTCAGCAAGTTCGGCATCCATGCTGGCGATGATGGATGAAGAGAGCAGGAAGTTGGCGGGGACTGCGGCCAGCGGTGAAATATAGTGACGGCGCCGGCGCCCCTCCAGGGTTACATGCTATCCGTCAAAGAGGCTGACGTGAGAGATCATGGCACCAAGACTAGGGTCTGGCACCGAAAACCATCACGTCTCGACCCCAGCGTGGGAGGCCTGAAGGCGTCTCTTCGCCGCCACCCCTTCGGCCAGCACGCGTCGCATCTCCTCACTGCCCCTCCGTTGCGCATAGTCCCAGGCACTCCCCAAGGCCCCCTTGGCCTCTGGATCGGCCCCATGGGCCAACAACCAGCGGACCCGCGCGACCGCCCCGGCAATGACGGCATACACAATGGCATACCGCGGCGTCATCAGTCGGCAGTCCTGGGGTTGGTTCACATTGGCCCCATGGGCCACCAGCAGGGCCATCACGGGAATTCGCGCCGTGTCGAACTCTTCTGTGGGAGTGATGAGGGTCCGGTCCGCATCAGTCCCGGATGGGCACGCGGCCGCTGCGACATGCAACGGGAGACCTTGCTGGACATCGGCGCCCGCCTCGACCAGGAGACGCACCGTGTCGACATCACCACGGCCAGCGGCCAGTTCGAGCGCTGAGCGCCGGTGGAGGTCCAGAGCACCAGCATTGGGATCAACGCCCTGGTCGAGGAACCAGCGGAGGAGCGGCGGGTTGGTGATGACCCCCACCGTCAGTAGGCTCCCATCGTCCCAGAGGCCCTGCGGGCTCCAGCCATGGAGGGACAGCAGCTGGAAGAGGGGAAGCTGGCGCTCCGAGGGAGCCCGGAGGATGTTGAGCGCGGTCCGCTGAACAATCGGGGCCCCGGCGACGAGCAGAGAACGGGTGATGTCCTCGTTGCCTGCGCTGAGGGCGAAGGTCAGGCCTCGGTGGAGGAAGGCTGGCGTGCAAGTTCGTTCGGCCACCAGGGCCTCCACCGCGGAGAGAGGGCCCGCTCGACACGCGCATTCGAAGGGGGTCGCGGGGGCGAACGAGAGCCCGGTCCAGACCAAATCTTTGGGATCGACGATGGGGAGGTCGCTGTAGTCCTCGCGCGCCATGGCCAACCCCTGGTGCATCTGCTGCTGCTGTTGCTGCTGGTGCTGCTGGTAAGCCTGCATCATGAGCCGCTGCCGGAGCTGTGACTGCCACGAAGCCTGCGCGCGTTCAGCCATCCTGCTGGGGATGCGACCAGGAGGGGGGATGGGAAGACGGAGGAGGGATCGAGGGAGCTGGGAGGATTGAGAGACCCCGCGCGAAGGTCAACAGGCTAGTTGAGGATGATTCAGCGCTGGGTCGCTGCTCATGAATTCGGTACTAGCTACTGGTAACTACTCGATTCACTCTTCTGATATGTGGCTCCTGGCCCCAAGCACGCTGGATGGAGTGAGCATCTGACACCAGGAAAAAATATATACAAATGGCGAACCGATCGTATCCCACTCGCCTGTAGCCCGTCAGACCCCGACCTCCCTCCCACCACCAACACGAACCAGTCTCGAGCCTCCTACAAGTGATGCTTCACGGGCCTCGCTAGCTCGGGGGCAGCTGATGGCCCATCCCGATGCAGGCGGCTTCCCCGAGGGTCATAGAGTGGCTCCGGCGTCACCGTGGCCTCGATGGGCTTCCCGAAATACTCAATCACAACCGCCTCCCCGTCTCGGACCCAGCCGGGCAGCCACGCATAGGCAGCCGGCTTGCGTGTCGTGTAGCTAAACACGGCGCTGGTCACATACCCGATCGGCTGACTGTTGTGGTAGACCGGTTCCTTTCCCAGGACCATGGAATGCCCGTCGTCCACTGTCAGGCAACGCAGGCGTCGAGCAGGTTTCTGGCGGGCGCAATCCTCCAGCGCTGCCTTTCCGACAAAATCTTCCGCTTTATCGGCCCGGACAGCACCCTCGACGCCAGCCTCGTACGGGTTGTGTTCGGTGGTCATGTCTGTACCCCAGGTCCGGGACCCCTTCTCCAACCGCAACGCGTTCAAGGCACTACGCCCCGCGGCGATCAGTCCGTGGCGCTTGCCAGCCTGCCAGAGAGCATCCCATAGCAGGTGGCCAGATTCGGCGCTCGTCTGAATCTCCCATCCGAGTTCCCCAACATAGGACTTGCGTAAGGCCGTCACAGGGATTCCGGCGATGGTGGCTCGCTTGACGCACATGTAGGGTAGTGCGGTGCTTGAAAAATCGTCAGATGTCACGGCACGAATCACATCCCGAGATCGAGGTCCCCATAGTCCGACACAGCAGGTGCTTCCGGTGACATCAGACACCTGCACCCATTGGCTCGGAGTGTGCTGCCTGTGACGGCGCGCCTCTCGAACCAGGTAGGCCACGTCGGTTGCCGTGTTCGCCCCGATTTGGAAGACATCCTCTTCCAGGCGGGCGACGAAGATGTCGCTGCGAATCTTGCCTTGGTCATTGAGAAGCAGGGCGTAAGTTATGGCACCAGGAGGTGCCGCAACATCGCCTGTCGTCAGACGCTGCAGCAAACGAAGTGCACCCGGCCCGGACACGTGCACTCGGTGGAAGGATGTCAGGTCATACATGGCAACTGCATTCCGTGTCTTCCATGCTTCCACTGCAGAGATGGGCGAGTAATACCGGGATGACCAGGCGTCTCGGGCGGTGGGCTGCCATTCGGCTGGAAGTGATCGGAGGAGCTCCGCGTTCGCCTCATACCAATATGGACGCTCCCAGCCGCCGAGCTCGAGGAAAAAGGCGCCCAGCGCTTGTTGCCGCGAATAAAAGGGACTCACCCGTAGCTGGCGGGGAGACTCCCTCGGCTGTAAGGGGTGTAGGATGTCATAGATTTCGACAAAGTTCTGTTGTGCAGTCTCATTGACGTAGGCTCGAGTAAGCTGCACCTCTTCAAATCGAGACAGCTCGCACTCTGCGAGGTCGACCGTGGAAGCTCCATCTGTAAGCAACTCTGCCATGGAACGTGCGACGCCCGCCGAATGGGTGACCCAGACGGCTTCCGCGACGTAGAACCCGTCCAGACTAGGTGCTTGTCCGACGAGGGGCCCACCATCCGGGGTGAAGGAGAAGATGCCGTTGAACCCGTCCTGCACCTTAGCTTCACGTAACACAGGAAGAAGCTCCTGCGACATGGCCCATGCAGGAGAGAAGTCCTCAGGAGTGAATGGCAGCCGGGATGGCATTTGTTCTTCGTCGACTTGCTTGGGCGTCTGCCCCAACGATGCAGCCACCACTGGCATGGGACGGTGTCCATAATACCCGATACCTACCTGATCGCCATGTTCGCGGTAGTATAGATCCCGATCTTGGTGCCGTAGGATCGGAAGACTTGCGTTCATTCCGTTGGGACGTTTATTGATGTCACGACCCGCCAGAGCGGGCACGGCGCTTGTTTTGGCGTACTGGTGGGCAAGCGGCAGCAGAGGAATCGACACCCCGGCCATCGCTCCGATTTCAACGCCCCAGAAGCCGGCACAGGAGATGACTATGTCCGCCGGGATCGTGCCATTAGGTGTGCTCACCCCCGTCACCCGGGAACCTGTCTGCTCAATGGCCGTGACAGGCGTTGAGGCATGGTAACGAACTCCCGCCTTCTGTGTGCGGGCGATGAGCAATTGGGTCGCGCGTGCAGCTAGGGCGAGGCCATCGGTAGGCGTGTGAAGTCCGCCCAGCACAAGGTCCTTGTTGAGGAGCGGATACCTCTCCAGACACTCCTCCACCGTCAGCAGACGCGCAGCAATACCCCAGGATGTCGCATAGCCGTGCTTACGCTTGAGCTCCTCAAGACGGGCGGGCGTCGTTGCCACCTCGAGGCCACCCACGGGGTTGAAGCATGGCATGCCATCCTCTTCCAGCGATTGGAGCTTTTCCACGGTATAACGGGCAAATCGAGTCATCGTCTTGGAGGCATTGGTCTGGAACACCAGGCCCGGGGCGTGCGAGGTGGAGCCGCCTGGCAAATGTAACGGGCCCTGTTCTACCACGACAATATTGCTCCATCCCCGGGCCACCAGCTCGTCGGCTAGGTTGGTGCCCACGATACCAGCTCCTATAATGACCACGCGCTGTGCCTGTGCCATGTCCGAAATTCAGCTCTCGGAAGGTCGAGGTCTCTTCGATGAGCGGCAGATGGATGGGTACATTTGGACTTTCACTACGCTCATCTTATGAGTAGCCCTGATATTGTCGTCGTGGAGGGAGCTACGCTTCTGAGGTGGTCTGCATGGCCGGATAACCACCGGCAACGGTTCCGCAGCCGAACCGGATCGTCAAGCCTATGAGATCGCGCATGAGCGCGATGTTACTAAAAATAAGCAGGACTGAAAGAGCTCCAGTATTGCCGATGGAGGGCAGACGGGCGGAAAAAGAAGGGACTCCGCACGGCTGCGAGGGGAAGGTGCATCGTATTCATTCCTAGTTGGGCAAGTCGCGAGGGGGGCGGGAAAGTATGCCCGAAACAGGCAAGGCGTTGCTGGTCGCGCGGAGATGGGGCCAGACTGCCCGAGATAGCCGGGTGGACAGCACCAAGTCGTGTTAGCACAGTAGATAGATAGATAGATAGGAGCGGTCATCTACTGGGGGTCTGGGCCCCCTCCTAGTGCCGAAAGCGCGACCGGGGTCGGGACCCCCTCACATTTCACATCTGAGGACGGTGAGTCGCTCTCGGGGTCCCATGACTGCGATGACGGTGGCAACAGATGCTCGACAAGGCTAGGGAACCTCTAGATAGCAAGCGCGTGGGGAGCCCTCGACCGTGGGTGGCGGGCGGGCTGACATGGTTGATGGTGCACAGGCGGGGAAGCCGAGGGTGACATCGGTGGCCATCCCTGCATGCGGGGTTGGACGTCTCCCGGTCCGGACTTATCATCAGCGGAGGACAAAGCAATCAACGCTATTTCTGCAACTATCATGCATCCAACCTGGCTGCCTCACAGGTTTCCCAGATTCCACCAAGATGAAAATTCCGCATCCCCGATTGCAGGCCCAGTGCTGTCGTATCCCAGGGAGCCATCGATGTCTCCCAGAGGCGCCGCGTCTGTCCACAGCCAGGGTGTATTGACCATGAGACTGTCAATGGGCGCAACCAGTCGATCGCGAGCCATGACGTTCCCCCCTGCATTGCCTTTGGACTTGGCCGGGGTCGGGTACAAGGGCAGGGGAACGGCCTGGCCCCCATCTGCGGTGTTGACCGTGACCTCGGGGGATGTGGTGACTATCACCTCCAGTGTCGACGCTTCTTCCGAGCCTTGCTCAACCATGGCCATGGCCAATGAGGGATGCAGTAGACGGCCATCCGATATCCCCTCTGCCGACTGATCCGTGCAGTGAAACTGCAAGATATCCCACATCAGAGGTATACTCAAATGGATCTTGGATGGTACCCAGGTTTCGTAATTGACGCCATCTGAGCCGGCTGCGACCCGCATCATTTGGTTCAAAATCCGGTGCTGAAGTCGGTTAGCTGTATCTCGCGCTATTCCAGGTCTCTATTGCTAAACTAGTCACGTACCAAGCCTTCACAAGCACGGGAAGTGGTTGCGAACGTCTTCAAAAATGCGCGGCACTTGGCCAGATCCACCCGAGATTTGTATTTCAGCCGGGGATCCCCGGCACAACAGTAGTACAGTTGCACCGTGGCGGCAATGGCGGCGACGTGGGCGAAGAAAGGATCGGACAGTCGCACCTCCTTCTCCAAAACCATGTCGATCAGGCGCACGATCCATGTCGCATGCAGTACAACAAGCTCCGAGGACCGTCGCCAAAAGCTATTCGGGATCGCTAGGTTGGTGTTGTGGCGAGAGGCCATGATGTACAGAAACGGATGGTTGAGGACCGTGAGGATGGCATGGTACATAAATTGTAATTTCAACCAGGGCACCCAGTAAGAGAGATTGCGGGAGAGCTCCTCCCCGTGGCGGTCGTAAAACTGGACGTGGTCATACCGATGGCAGAGAGGGGTCCGGTTCTCGATCTCCGTGAGGTCCGAGAGGACCACCGAGTACATTGACTCATGCCTCCAAGGCTCCCTCATCCTACTGCTGGCACAGTCCGACACGTAGCCTCTAACCTTGCTCCACACCCACCCGAACTGGATGCTCATGCTCCAGATGCCGGTATCGTCCGGCTCAGAGCATCCGACCGTGTCTTGTGGTAGGGGCGGAGGGGTAGGGACGGCCTCCTTTGGAGGTTCCTTGTCTCCGTCGTCAGCAAAGTATGGCGGGCGCCAGATCTCGGTTGGGATGCGTAAAAGCCCTGTCTGTCGACCGTATGACTGCTCGAGCAACTGCAGGCTCCAGAAGAGCCTTTTTTTGCGCTCGCTATGTGGATCCTCAGTTGAATAAGTGGCAGCGACATCCAGCATGCCCGAACGACAGAGCTGAGATGCCAGGCCAAGGTAGAATTGCCCCACATGCATATCCCCATCTGCCAGTGCCTGAGAGTTAGCTAGACCTCGTGGGTGACAGAGCCCGTTAATCTTCGTACCTATGAAGGAGGAGTAGGAAAGCAGACACAAGCTTTCGATCGTGGCCAGCTCAACGGTCCCATTCGCAATGCGGAGCATGATTATTGTCTTGGCGTTGTCGGCGTAGTGCTGTCCCTGATCCGGCTCTTGCAAGTACCGCAAGGTGAGGGCCAATAGACTAGAGATCAGCTCCTCGGGAAGGGATCCCGGTTCCCCAGGCCCGTCAAAGTCAAAACACCAGACCGGTTGGCGGTGGCAGTGCTCCACATAGAGATCGATTGCTCTGGCAATCGCCGATGGAGATGGTTGGGGGGTTGCCACATCCTCTACCTCCGCTGCATGGGGGTATGGATCGTTAGACGGGTAGTTGCTAGGTTGTGTTGCCTTTGTCCCTGGGCCACTCTCCCGGGCCGGTCTGTGTGGTTGTGAGACTATTGGCCATGGGTAACAGTAAGGAACGAACACCTACATGCTGCCATTCAGAATAAGATTGACCTTTTCCTCGAGTTCTGCCAGCCTATCCTTCTAGGGTGAGCGCATCAGCATCCACCTTGTCGAGAGAACCTTGGTCCGGGCCACCCACGGGCGGACTGCCCATCGATGTTCTCGTGATGGGCGTATACAAACACGGCTGGTTGAGCCGCACGCAGCAGGAGCACGCCGGTTTCTCTCCGGGACACCGCGTTTTCTTCCTCCTGTCAACGTGTGAGTGTGTGATTTAGGCCGGGCAGATGGGAAGCGACCCAAACCTGCAATTCAAACACGCATGGTTGGACCGTAACCGCCGACGCGGACCCCCCAGCGGCGTCATCGTCTGCCCCAGGGAGACTGAGCGAAGATGGATGATGGGATGGGATGATATGGAACAGCACGGGTTAAATGGAAGAGACGGAGGAAAGGAGAGGCAATCCTGATATAGAGGCCAGACTCGGTGAGGGGAAGCTGATCCGATCAGCATCGGGAATGTCTGGAAGGGGCATGGTTGCCGGGGTGGGACAGCAATCCTTCCGCGGTGCTGGTCACCTGGCCCCGCCTGGCGTCGTCCCTCGCCAGTCGCCCCATGGATGATGGGCCAGCCAGTCGCCCGGCCTCCATTACGGACCGCTGCATGGTGACAGTCGTGATGCGGGATGCATTATTGAGACGAGACGACTATCAGCACCGCGGTCCCTGCAGACTTGCGCAAGCTATATCTAAATAGTGATAAGCTGCTGAAGCTGCTAGGAGGACAACAAGATGTGCGGTAGCGAGCGAGCCAGCGAGCAGCCCAAGAGAAACTCGCTGCCGGTCAGGTGATCGCACGTGGTGTTTACGGTTTCCCCCCTACCGACCGTCGCATCTTCGGGTCTACCCACCGATATAGCTAAACAACTCACGCCTTCGACAATTTTCGAGGCCTCTGCTTGCGTTACGCGTCAATATGTCATACAAACTGTCTGACAGCCGTTCAGTCTACATGTGAGTGGGATATATTTGGTTGCTAGTATGCTCTTCACTTCAAATTACGACTGCTAACATGGTTGCTGGACTGCAGTACAAATTCCCCTCATTAACCGAGCCCATGTGTTCTTCCTCCTATCCTTCATCATTATACTTCACCACGCGACCGTTGCTGGTACTTGACCCTCCAAGTTGGAGCAGCACTCCTTGCCCGCCTGACAAGTCAAATTGGAGCAGAACTGGATGTCCTTGGCACTAGTGGACGCCTCCTTGGGCACCCTCTGTCGCGCAGGCCAGATCTCCTGCCCAGCCTTGTCCTCCCGCTGGGAATGCTCCTGCACAACCTCCCGGACCACCCTCTGGAAGTACAGCGGGCCCTTCTCCATCTGTGGGTGAAGCTCTCCGTTCACAAACACTCCGGCGTTGAGATTTCTCTGTGTTAGATCGCAGAGATCCTTGTCCTCCGACATGATTCGCTTGTACATGGAATCGATCAGCTTAAAGTCGGCATCGCTGGAATGCTTGTTTCGGTAGACCTCGTACTTCATCACCGATCGGGTGGGAGAAATGGGCACAAATCGCTGCATGAAGAAAAAGTGCGGTCTACGGACTGTTAGCAGTGGGGAACCCTTGCATCGCACAGGAATACTCACGAGACCGTCATGGACGCGTTTGGGAAATAATAGGTGCTGGCAATCCGCAGCCCCGCGGCGATCTGGTCTGGCTTGGAGTGGGCGTCGTGGATGATGCCACCGTCCTTGGTGTCGACCGAGTACGTGGCCAGGTCGGCCAAAGCCGGGATGTCTGGGTGCGTCGTCTGACAGTGGTAGCATTCATTGTAGTTGTCGGCCAAGATCTTCCAGTTGTAGCTCCCCTCCATCTCCCAGGTGTGGTCGAAGGTGTACTCGTCCCACTTGACCTCATCGAACCGGGGTTGGACATCGATGCCTTTGAAGTCGTCTTCCCATGCGATCTCCGGCTTCTCTCCGGCGTCGAGATTTACCCAAATGAAACCATTGTGGTCGAGATGGACGTGAATGGGCAGCAGTCCATTGCGACTCTTGTCGAAGCCGTCCACATCCTGGTAGCCGGGGGCCTTGGCAAGTTTCCCATTGAGGCCGTACGACCAGCCGTGATATTTGCAAGCGAAGATCCGGGCAGACCCCTTCTCCTCCGTCACCAGGGGAAAGGCCCGGTGGCGGCAAACGTTGTGGAAGGCATTGACGTTTCCCTCGCGATCTCGGACAAGCACGAAGTTGAAACCCGACACTTCATACTGCAGCCAGTCCCCCGTGTTGGGCAGTCTCAGTTGGTGCGTGGTCAGTAGCCATTTGCGGGAGAAGATGGCCCGTCTCTCGAGCTCAAACATGTCCTGGGAGGTGTACCATGAGGCCGGGAGCGCTCTCACTGCCCCCTTTTCGGCTGGTGGTGCTGTTGCCGTCTCTCGAAGCCCAAGGTAGTTCCACAACGACGACGCCATTGTGTCGATGAATCGTATGATATCCTCAAGGTCGAAGATGAAAGACTATCAAGGAAGGTTGCTGCACCTGCAATTGATGTGGCTCTCCTGGAGTATTTCGTCGTGAAGGTGAGCTTTGGTATTTATAGCCATGGCCTGGCTTCGTGCCCCCTTGAGTTTGATATGGTCAAAAGGCATGGTGTAGAGACTCGTACTCGCGGCTCACATCCCGTCAACCGGCTGGATGTCCGCTGAGGAACCGGATGGATAGCGATCAGGGGTTCGGAGCGGAGCCTGACCCTGGGTCACCTGGACGACGCGAGCTGCCCACGACAACAACTTGTTTGTCACTCAAGGGATTCATGCTGCGGTTTCCATGTTGCGTTCTACCTCCTGGTACTGCTGACGAACGGACGGCTCCTCGGAACCTGAGGGTCGATCCCGGATCCCGAAGTCAGCAGAACGAGAGCAACAACGAGGATGGATCAGCTCGGTCAGAGCTTCTTCCTAGTTGAGGAAAGGAATCCCACCGGGGTGAGTCTCCAGATGGGGAAATTCTGCCCCAAGATAAGCTCTCTCGGGAGGCGAGGCAGGAGGATGGCGGCCTCAAGGGCTTGATGCCACGAGGTGATGGGTTTGTCGGGGTTTCCACATTGGACTAATGGCAACCGTGTCTTCGTTCCTGTTCCCCCTTCTGCCCTGATCATCCAGTGTTTCCCTTGTTCTACTTGTCTACTGGACGTTCATTTCTCCTTTCCCAAGCCTCTAGGCGCCGAATCCTACAGCCCCGTGATCTCCATCAAGAGCGAGGGAGAGCGAGGGATTCCATGTACAAGTGAGCATCACATCTGGCCTGACAGGGATGCAGGTAGACTGCATCAATGATGGCGGACGCCAATACCGTCTGCCGTATAGCCGCACGATCTATAGGGATGGGGTTCTCTGCCAAAGACACGGCACGGTTCGCTTGCCGCCTGGCAGCCGACGCCCAGACGGACTCGGTTCGGCTTCCGGCTCCCAGCCGCAGCCACTGTTTGGCAGCGCATAAATCATCCGCGTGGCTAATGACTAGCTCTTGGTGATGGTTCCTACGCGATCTTGGATCTCATTCTCCTGCCATGGACAAGACACAGCACATCGTCATTGTTGGAGCCGGCGTCTTTGGCCTGTCCACGGCCCTGGATCTGGCCCAAGATGGCTTCTCATCGGTGACCGTGATGGACCGGTCGATGCCTCCAGTCCCCGATGGATCCAGCAATGACATATCGCGCGTCATTCGATTCGACTATGGGGATGCGGTATATGCGCAAATGGCCAAAGACGCATACGAGCTGTGGAACACCAGTCCCGACTATACCGCCTCCTTCCATCGTACCCCCTGTGTCTGGACCGCTCAACAGTCAGGACCGGCAAATCTCGTCCAGGCCGGGGGATCGGACTTCATCCGCAAGTCCAAGGAGATTCTGACCGACATGGGCCATGAATGGCATGGGCTTGACGACGTGGCTGCCTTGAAGGCCCGATTCCCCGCCATTACGGGGACCCCGATCGGCCAGGGGTTTGAAGGATTCTACAACAGCTCGGCCGGATGGGCCGACGCAGGTCTCGCCATCGCCGGTCTGCGCGACCGCTGCATTGACGCTGGAGTATCCTTCGTCACGGGTCGACATGGACACGTGACGGGGTTGGAGAAGGGGTCGGACGGGACGATCCAGGCCGTTCGGACGATCGATGGCGGCAGCATCACGGCGGACCAGTTCATCTTTGCGACTGGGGCGTGGACGGCCAGTCTCATTGCCTCCTGGAATACGATGGTGGCCACCGCCCAGATCGTCGGGTTTGTGCGGTTGACGCCCGATGAGGTAACCCGCCTGAAGGACCTGCCCATCATCTTCAATCTCTCCACTGGGTTCTTCAGCTTTCCTCCCCACGAACAGACGGGATACTTGAAGGTGGCATGTCACAGTTTCGGATACACCTTGTCCTCCACTGCAGCGGACCAGAACATATCCTCGCCACCTAGTGAGGCTATTTCCGCACGGGCGAACTTCATCCCGGAAGAAGGAAGACAACGGCTCCTGGCCGGGCTCGGGGAGATCCTGCCCGAACTGGTGGCCCGGGGGTTCGAGAAGACCTGCCTCTGCTGGTATAACGAGACGCCGACGGGGGACTTCATTTTCGATCGGCACCCCGAACATCCGAACCTGTTCATCGCAACCGGTGGCACCGGGCAGTAAGTCTCCCTGCGAACGGTGGCAGATGCCCGATACTGACGGTTAATAATACTCAGTGCATATAAGTTTCTGCCGGTAATTGGCAAATATATCTCACATGCCTTCCAGGGCCGGCTGCCCGCCGACCTCGCGGCTCGGTGGAAGTTCCATACCGACTATCGGGCGCGTCCGCAGGATGACTTGTTCACGGGGGCACGTAGCCGCGGGGGCGGCGATGGCAGCCGAGGAGGTCCCGGCCGACGGGAATTCACGGGCCAGGAGCGGGATCGCCTGCTATCTTTGACGGGGGCGCTGGCACGGAGACCGGCGAAGATGTAGATATAGAATCCATACTCTCTGATGCCAATGGGAGAGGCAGACTCGGTTCTCTGATGGTATCTCCCACCCGTCCAGAGCAGCAGCAGTCAACGATAGACCGCATGTACCGCCGGGTCAGAATATACATAAGACCCGAAGGTTGAGTTTGGACTCATTGGCTCAGCCGATCAGGTGATACAGGCTACACTTGGTGTGAGGGTTCATCTTCTCTCACTATCAATCATCGATCAGATGTATCCAACATTATCACAAAGCATCATGTGTCTGATCACGGACACATAGGATTCTCTTCTATATAATCGATAGCATGATGTTCCACGGCGACCCGCTGTAGCAGGGAAATGCCCACGGGCCTGGTTTCTATATATACCGGTCTTCCCCACGCCAGCTGTGACTGAACAACTCAGCAAGACTTGGCAGTTCTCGAGAAACCAATCCAACCGGGCACTCCCAGGACTCGTCGCAGAAGCAACTACTAATCTTCCAGTACACTGTTTCTCAAGCACTTGATTTCCGCGGGTCCCTCACCATGGCGGCCAGCTCTCCCGTGTCACCACCGAGGAGATAGCTGCGGTCCTCAAAGCCCAGTCGCTCGTATACCGGCTTCCCGGATTGACTGGCATCGATGTAGATGGGGACCCCCGCCTCGTCAGCCGCCTGACAGCCCCATTCGAGGAGCAGACGAGCGGCCCCCATGCGACGGTAGGCGGTATGGGTGGCGAGCATATCCAGATCTAGTCGTGGGTCAGCAACCAGGTGGGCACCAACCAGCCGGGACAGGATACCGGGTTTCAACCTACAGAAGTTCGGTCGACCCCCACCGACGAGCGTGGCCCGGCAGGTCTCGAGCTGATGGAGAAAGGCGTCGTTCCGGACTGGGTCCATGTCCGGATGCCAGGCGGGCCAGCGGGCGCCGCGCTCCTCGGCCGTCTGGAGGGACCATTTGGCATAGGCGACAATGCGGCCATTTTGGGCGGTATCGACGACCTTCAGGTATTTCTCCCGCGGCTTGTGCAACATGTCGTGCTGGTTGGCCGCGTGCCACCACTGCCGGACCCCGGGGGTGTCGGGCCAGATGGCGCGGAGGCCCGGCGTGGTGAAGGCATTGTACCACAGCTCGGTGATCTCGGAGAGATCGTCGAGGGTTGCGAAGTCAAGCCGTAGGGGTGAGTTGCTGTCCGTGGACGATGTCATGCTGGGCGAGGAGTGCACATGGAGAGCACAAAGCGGACAATTGGAGGAGGAAAGCCCGGGTTCATCTGGAGAGAAAGAAAGAAAGATGCCTCGCTGGCGGAGTCGCGCAAGGGACCGCGCGCCGTGGGGATCGGAGGCCCTGACTGGCTGGCCTCGGTCGATCGGCCCACTTGGACGAGGCCTAATGACTCACTGCAGTCACATTCCAGGTACCTATCCCAGTAACTTCCACTCCATTGCTGGGACCATCCTATGTCAATTAGAACGCATCGCAGTCCGATCTAGCCCTCTTTCCAGGCCTTCAGAGCCGCTGCCACCCAGGAATGTCTCGGGAGGGTAACAGCAGAATGATATTGCGGCCAGTTCGCGTGCGTCAGAGACGGACTGTGGGTAAGATCCCAGGGCCCGTGCTCCTAACCCGAGTCAGAAGTCTGTTTGGTATATCGTGCAACCCAACTACAGCCTCGTGTGTTGCAATGTGACACTGTCACTCGTCCAGTTGGCAATTGAGCCCATGGGTGCAGCCACTCGAATGGGTGATATTGTACCCCGGGAGCCGGGTCTGTAATAGCACGCGTTCACATCTATCTGGGATTCGGCCATCCTGCACCCCATGATAGTGTCCGAGACTTGGCCGTACTGCATGCCGAATACGATCTGACCGGAGCCTCCCCGTGGAGTGGGGCCATCCTGCAGCCCACCGCCGGGCCCCAGTCTCTGAATCGCATGGACGCCCCAGTGGATGGAGCCTGATCACCTCGGCCGTGTGATCATAACGTGCTGTCTCTCGGGCCTCGGATTGGTCGTGGAGATACTGCCCAAGTCCTCGTCTGCCCGTGCCCCGTGCCATGGCTCTCGCGGGAAGGTGAATGGCACATGGCTGCCTCGTGGGATGAGCACAGTGGATCCGGCCGTGCTGGATTGAAGATAGCACGTCGGGCTGAAGAACCCGATGGCCGATGGCACGCCAATCTCTGCTCGCTCGCTCTGGCCAAGCAATCTTAGCCGGAAGCTTGGTCGGCTGGAACCAACATATATGGATGACCTTTTCCCCCAGGCAGGTAACTGCACACGCGCTGCATCCATACCATGTTTCAATTCCTCTTCCGTGAGCTCGGGCTCTGCTATGGCTTTGTGCGCCGCGACCTGGGCACTGGCCTGCTTCCAGTCCCGGGATTCACGCTGGCCTCCTTACTCTACCGCAAGGCACCCCGGGAGGAAATGGTTCCAGCTATTGCCAGTAAGTTTATGTCATCCTTCCATGGCGACCCGGCTTACCCTAGGATCATCGCAGTGGCCTTCCTGTACGGCTTCCTCTACCTCTACACCTTTGTGGTCTCCAACCAAATCACCGGGGTAAGCGAGGACAAGATCAACAAGCCGGATCGCCCCATTGCGTCCGGCGCAGAATCGCTGTCGGCAGCCAAGATTCGGTACTGGGTTCTCACCACGCTGTATCTCGCTCTGGGATATGTTCTGGGTGTCTCCGAATGGGCGTTGTTGTGGATTCTCACTACGATTGCGCACAACCCCTTGGGATGGTCCGACTTCGGGCCCACCAAGGACCTCTGCATGGGGCTCGGATGCATCGCCCAGCTGAAAGCCGCATGGGCCATTGGGGGTTCCCCGCCGGACATGGGCTGGGCGTGGATTAAGATCATCACGTTGTATATGCTGTGGCCGATCCCGCTGCAGGATTTGCGGGATGTACCTGGCGATTTGGCTGCCGGACGCCGCACGACGCCAATTCTCCTGGGAGACATGCCTGGTGAGGCTGACCTTGAAGGTGCGTCATGGTGATAGTACTGATAATCTTCTAGCACGTATTTACATTTCCGCGGGGATCGTCGTATCGCAGGTAAGCTGATACCACGACTCCTGGTAAAGAGGTACTGACACCGCGTTCGCAGTTTCTGCTCATCAAATACCGCATTCTGGCGTATCGCTACGACACATCCACCATGATTCTGTCGGCTGCTCTGGTCCTCATGACCGTGGGATGCATCTTCCGCTTATTCGCCTTCCGGTCTCTGACCAGTGATCGGTTCTCCTACTGGTTGTATACCGTGATCTATGTTTTCCAGCCATTGTCGGCATGCATTACGCTGCGCTGAGTCCCAATGCTCCAGACTAGTGCGATCGATATGACGAACGTATTGATAAAGCGAGAGTGATAGACTGACACTGGTAGCTAGACGGAAGATTCATTCCAGATGCAAAATCCCAGATAAGGACTCGATCTTATCTTCTCAACGTCCGGCAACTAGTCTCGTCAGCCACATGATGATAAGGTACTGGTCTTCAGTACCACCCGCCCCTTGTAGAATAATCCCCGTCTCGTTATGGTGATTCTCGTACGGAGTCCATCCTATCAATCTGCCAGAGTATTTGAATCTCCCCGGCGGTGTGTACAACTTCACCCACCCGCTTGGGGCCGGTATCATCGATGCTGAGCGGAGATTCACCCTCACGGCCCACGGCACGAGTTTGGTATCCGACCTTTCCTATGACGCAAAGGCTCTGATAACCCAGCGAAGCTGGCTTTTTGGGGGGGGGGGAGGGGAAAAGAACCGGAGATCCATCGGGCTCCGATGAGTGGACCTGAAGTGGAGGAACGGATTCCTGTGGGATCGCTAGTCTCACCAACCGGCTCGTATTCCTTATCTGGCGGTCATTGGCTCGTCCACGTGTGGCGCTAGAGATTCCAGTCCCGGATTGACCGGCAAGCGACCAGAAAATTGGGGGTCACGCGTCATGACAGTGAAGTACGAGTTACACATCTGATCTAGCTCTGTGAACCGGTCGCGAGATATGCTTCCCCCGTCAGCTACGGCCTTCAGCATGCGGCATTGCCAAGGGTCTGGCCCACCAAACGAACTTGTTTAATAGTACCGTAGTTCGTGACTGAGATCGATTGATTACATCGTAATGGTAGATAGTAAATACACTTTTGCCGAAACAGAAATAGGATACACCGGGACATGATTCATTGCCGTTCATCAGCCTTTCGCTCACCGGGGGTTCCGGGAAGTTCCCATGGAGGAGGTGTCATAGCCCTGCGACTCGAGGTAGTCGCGGAAGCGGGCATCCTCGTGCGTGATAGTGTCCTGGGCGATGGTTAGCTATCTGTGCCTCCTATCCCAGTAGCTCCCGGGGGGGGGGGGGGGGGGGGGGATGATGGGGGCGTACCTGGTTGATCTTGGGCAGGCCGAAATAGGCCAGGAAGGCACTGAAGATGCACAGCGAGCTGGAGACATAGAAGGGGAATTGACCTTGGTGGGCGAGGTTATCACCGGCATCCTTGACGATGACGGGAAAGACGTAGGTGCCCACGAAAGCGCCCACTTTGCCCATGGCTGCGGCCGTGCCATAGTACTGGCCACGGATGGGAGTGGCACACGTCTTGGCCGCACACAGGCCGATGTTATCGCCGGGGCCGACTTCGCCCATGGCGAGGAAGATGCCGTAGACCACCACGAAGGCGGCCACGTAGTGGGAGGTATCCAGGTACGGGTAGCACCCGGTCATGATGAATCCGATGGCGCCCTGCACGAAGACCCCAAAGACCAACGTGTTGCGGGGCCCATACCAATCACTCATGAAGGCGCCCAGAAAGGAGCCGGGCACATAGAAGGCATTGATCAGGGTGTTCCAGCCCAGCGTCTTCCACAGGGGCGCACTGTCGCCGATGATGACCTTCAGCCACGCCGAGGAGTAGATGCTGAAGGAGTAGGTCGAGAAGTCGTAGATGAACCAGATCAGGGCGACCACGCACTAGGAACGAGGTTAGCCAGTTTCCGACAGTCAGTCGTCGCTTGTCCAGGCGGGCTTACCCAACGCTGCCAGTAGAATCTATTTCGCCCCAGTCAGCATCACTTTACAGGGTCGAAGGGAGGGGGCAGCCCTTACTTGATGATCAGCCAGGCGGGAAACTTGTGCATCTTCTCGCGGGAGTACTCTTCGGGCTCCTTGAGCTTCATTCGTAGGTAGATCAGACTGAGAGGCGGGATGACCCCCAGTCCGAGGCAGATGCGCCAGGCGGCCCGGAGGTGGTTCTCGCCACAGGCCAGGACGACAATCATGGGGACGAGCGACGAGGCGACCGAGGCCAGATCGAGCTGGAAGTTGGTGAACAGGATGAACCAGCGGTGACGGGTGCCCTCCTCCAATTCACCACTGCTCTCGGCGGCCGCGACCGAGCCCGCCGGATATTCACCTCCGACTCCCAGCCCCAGGAAGAAGCGATACGCGGTAAGGGCCGCGAACATGCCCGTCAAGCTGCCACCAGCCCCATAGGCTCCGGCACAGAGGGCGCCAAAGATGAAGAGGATGACGGTGGAGACCATCAGGGTGTTGGCGCGCGACCAGTGATCGGAGAGATACCCAAAGAACAGCATTCCGACGACGGTGCCGGCGAAGGCGATGGAGGAGACATTCTGACTGTAAGTGGAATTGGCGTAGGTATCGGGATAGAGATCCGAGAGGATAGTGTTGACGGTACCGATGACCTGAAGAGCGACGCGAACCGGTTAGTGAAGCAGAACGAGGGCTTCATGGCCGCAGGAAATCATACGTATTGCAGGTAGCCGTCGGACCACAAACCGGCACCACAGGCAAAGGTGGGCCAACTGCGCTCCCACCAGGTCTTTTCCGGTTGCGCCAGAGGATCCTCGTCCATGTGACGATCCCCGTGGGGAGCGATCACCAACTCGGAGGTTTTCTCGTCTCGGGGATCCATGGTGGTGTGAAAGACCAAAGAGGGTAGATGGAACGCAAGGAGGGGCCAGGGAATCAGCTGCGCGGGCACGAGACCTCCGAATGCCGCAGTGCCAGGAGACGCAGGACTGCAGTCGGACAGGAACGGCAGGACGAGCGACACGCGGTGCTTTATAGGAGGCACCGTGCAGCAGCAGACGGCAGGATTGAGGATTTGCCCCAAACGCACCCACGAGGGGAGCTTGACAGGTTAAGGTTTGGTGTCAAGTACTAGGTACCTGGACCCGACATGTGAAAACGGCGGGCACAGGTGGAGGCAGCCGGTACCTGGTACTTGACTGGTGCATCCTATCGCGCGGCCCCGATAGTGCCCTAACAACCAGCGATACTCGGCCTCGCCGGGCGACATGCCCGCCCACTAAACACCAAAGAATCAAGCTCAGCGGGGCGTGGTGCCCTCCATGGCTCCGTCCACCGGCTCGCGACGTGCCGCACACGTGCCCAGCTCACTGGCTCCCTGGCTGTCCCCCGGTCGCCCCCCCCCAGTTACCATGACACCATCCGCACTCCCATCCCGACAACACCTCCTCGAGCCATCCAGGGAAGCTTCGATGCTCATCAGATGGTCCGGAAGAGCACAATCATTGCGTGTGTTCCCTTGCCACCACGGGATCAGCATCTGGATCGGTTAACTATCGCCAGCATATCTCCCTGCAGCTTTTCACCACCCCCCGTGCCGGCCCTGCGATAAACCTCCGGGGTGTGATTCGTGAGGGGGCCTTTTCCGGCCCACTCTGCCATCGGGGCCTATATTAGCGTGCCTGAAGACGGTGACTCCTCGAAACTGCGGTGGTGTTCAGTGCATCGGGGCACGTGTGCAGCCACCCAACGCGGGCGCTTCTAATCACAACGCGGCCTGTGCCCACGTGCCTCCGTTGTGGTGTTGCCCTGCATCCTGCGCCCGCGCAGAGTTTTTTTTTTCCTGCACACCCTCTCCCCCTGGGGATATACGCGGTCGCCCACCCGTCATGCAATGACCTCCGATCGGCCTGCCAGCCCAGTGGGACTGATGTAGCTACCCAGTGTCCAGGCTGAGCGCGGTGGGGGTTCATACCAAGACCAACCGTTCGAACCCGACCGTAGGGCCGGTGATGCCGGCTCCACCCTAAGACTGCCATCCGGACGCCGCCTCTCGGCCAGCCCGTGATGCATAAGGCTCGATGTCTGGGCGGGGACCTTGCCAAACGAGATCATTCTACTCCGTGGTAATTGCCCACATCGCACGCCAGCCACGTGCTCGGCCTCTAGGTCCAGATGGCATCAACTCCAGCCCGGTCAAGCTTTTCTGGCAGGGCTCGCCAAGCCCGATGCTGTTGCCCCACGTGGGCCAGGCAGAGACTCCCTGGTGGGAAATGAAAAGAATCGTATGTTATTTACAGGGTATAGCCCACTCTCTACTAAGGTTGCTTGAGACAATCAACGGCATTCGAATCAGCGCGGATCATCCCACCATCAGGTTGAAGGCCCCCGTCCCTGCCTTGACCTCAAAGTCCCATTCCACCCCCTCCGAGTCCTGGCACGGAGTGACCCGTACCGCAATCCCCTCCTTGGGGGGTCGCATGCTCGACGTGATCGCCTGCGCGTTCATCGGCGGCACTCGCCACACGCCATCGACCGGGGTCACGTCCACCCGCAGCACCATCATGACCGCCAGGGCCAGGATCTCCGAGCAGGCAAAGTGGCGCCCCGGACAGATGACGGGCGACACCCCGAACGTCATAAATCCTCCCGTCCGACGAGGGTTCTTGTTCTCGGACTTGATAAAGCGCCGCGGATCAAACTCGTCCGCGGTCGAGCCCCACGTCTCGGTGGTTCGGCCCACCGACGCCGCCGGCATATTGAGCACGCCGCCGGCCTTGAGGAGGTATTGATCCGCCAGCAGGACGTCCTGCAGTACGAAGCGCGTCGGGGCGGACACGGACCGGGTGCGCAAGATCTCCTGGAACGTCGACAGCAGGAGGGGGCACTGGTCGCGCAGGGCCGAGATGTCCACAATGTGGCGCTGGTCCGCGTCCACCCGCATCGCATGCTCGCGGACTTCCGCGCGGATCTCGGCGAGGAGGTCGGGTCGGGAGTAGAGGTCGTACAGCACCCAAAAGGTGGCCGGGACCGAATTGGAGAGCAGTCCGATGGCCATCGACACCTCCTGCCGGGCGATATCCTCCGTGGGCACGCCGGCGTCGTGCATCGTTTTCCACCGCACGTATGTCAGCTCCGACCCCTCCTCATGTCCTCCGAGCTCGTAGTACTTCACCAGGGCGGCGACGGCCGCCTCGCGCCCTTTCCAGGCGGTGCGGGCGGTCAGCCAGGGTAGAAAGTTGGCCAACAGGGGGCTCATGTGGGATTCAAAGTCCCTAGACGGTTAGTCGGAGGGTGGACTTCAGCCCGGGCGGAAGTGGATCACTCACCAGAAGGCATCTTCCACGCGCGGATCCTGGTACGGATTCAAGGGCCCGTACGAGGCATCCGTGCTGGCCGCCGTGATGACCCGACGGCACCAGTCGAACAGATCGATGGTGGGCAGGCGGACCAGCTCATCCAGGCGCGGTCGCAGCATCTGTGCCATGCGCTCGTTCATCACATCCAATCCCCGCCCGCTCAGGGTCGGCTGCATGGCATGCACCACGTCGTGCCCCAGGCCCTGACCCCCCGACTCCTTCTCGCGAAATTGCTCCAGGACGGGGCCGCGGATGCCGGCCATGCGCTCGAGCGTCATCGACACAAACGGGTCAAAGGAGAGGGACTTTCGGTTCCGTTGGACAGCCTGCACCAGCGGGGGCGAGGTGACCAGGTAGCTTTTGCTGAAGACCAGGTCCAGCGTGCAGATCGGATGGGGATGTTTCGCACTGGGGCCGTCAGCGGTCCGTCCGTCTGCCCTGCGGTTCCGGGGGTCGAGCGACTCACGTTACCATGTCGAAGTACGGCAATCCGTGCCACAGCAGCCCCACGAGGTGGCCGATGAGGGGGATGCGGCTGCTCACCAGCGGCGGTTCTCGCGGGTCGCGACTCTGCCGGCGATGCAGGACGTAGAGCAGCCCGGCCACGAGGCCGAGCAGCAGCAGCCGGGAGACGTCCAACATGACGAAGATCACAGAATCCGAGCCCGGGGGGGGGGGACGGTGGGCGACGAGGCCGAATATTTAAGGGGATCCCCGGACCTCAGCGCGCGTCAGCCACCCGATCTCTCAGGCCCCCTGGGTGGAGGGCATTGCAAATGACTTCTCGTCTGGTTGGCTGCCATGCTGATGGGCCCGCCCGGCTAATCTAATGATCCTGAGTCCTTCGGCGGGTGGACCCCGAGTGGAGATCCGTCGATACGCCGCGATACGAGCCCTATCCGCTGGGCAGCGTCCAGGCCAGGATTTCATACCTTGGTTTACGGGCTGATACACTCACTATGCTGCTATTTTGACATCTGCCTGCTGTCGCATTGCTTCGTATCGAATGGTGGTCCTTGCCGCGGCCCCTTGATTGGCCCGTTTCGGTGCATGGTACGATGGCCCGCTGACCACTCCACTCCCTCTACGCAATCGATTCCATCGGAAAAGGGGCGCGTCTGTCAGATCGAAATGCTCCAGGGTGAAACATACGCCCACCGCAGCATACATCTCACACTCTGGTCGTATGGCTTCTCAGGGGTCATATACGAGGCGACCTCGATCTCCTCTTTGCGAAACACCATGCTCTGGCATCGTGGTTGTTCACCCCGTTGATTCAAATACACTGCTGCTCGCACGCCAGCGAATATATGAGCTCGCTATTGTTCTTCGAGGGACCGGTGAAGGGGACACCAGCGCTTCAATGATACCCCGGCGTCACTGATAAGATGCGCCAGACTGCCTGCCATTTGGGATTCTCGCAGGTCCCGACTCGCCAGTGGTAATCATAATCAGGATACCCCGTATGTATGGTGTGGTGGTTCCGTAGCTCGACTTGGGCATGATCCTGGGGTCGTCTGCCACTGACAGTCCAACTTCGGACAAAGAGGTGGAGGGTAGGTGGTACCAGCACGGACAAAGGGCAGATGCTGTATATACCTCTGGCGGATGAAAAGCGCAGATATCGGCACTGCAGGGATATTATCGCCATCCAGAGTTGGAGATGTACTTTCCGGTCATCAGGCTTGCCGTGGTTGTCACCCCAGTCCCCAGATCACCCTGGAGACCACCGCGAACTCACCAGGGCTCGTCATTGCCATGGTCGTCTCGGGTAGAGCCCGGGGAAATTTCCTCGGCGCATACCGGAATGATGCCTCCGCTGGATGGATCTTGGTAGGAATCAGGACAAAGGAACCACAGCGAAGGGCTATGACCATCCTCGGCTATTCATTCGTATCACCTGACCGGCGTGCATCCCCGCGGAACCCCGCAGTCACCTGGTAGTCGCTTGATCCCTCGTAAATCCCCGATTCCATCATGGCGCACATCGTGCTTCGGGTCGCGATGCAGTCGATGCCAAGCCAGCCTGGCCGATGGCTATCTCGGTTCCCCCAGGCCCGCTTTGGCCCAGAGATTATGCAGCGAGTGGACTGGCCGGCTGGTATCGACTCGCGGCAGGTGGCTTATCCGGTGCGTGTGGGCTATCTTCAGTTGTGATTCATAAGGCGAAGGGTGTTAAAATTTGCCAAGTTTTGGAATGGTCACCTTGAATTGCCTGGATTCAACCCAGCCCGGTAGACAGTTTCCCGAGTAGTTTCAAATTCAAGATTGGGGGGCAGGCCCGCCGACCCGCTTCCCTTCGCTTAGGCGAACACACCGCTTCTGGCTCGGGACATGGAACGGGCAGAATTATGATCCCGCGGCATGTTTCCCCTTTTGGCCGGGGGGGTTTGTCTGATTATTCTGCGCTCCCCAAGTCGTATTGACGAGGTTCTTCTATGCATTCTGGAAGTTTGACGGCTCTTAGCCTGATACATAATACTGCCAAATTCGAAATCACTCATCCCAACACAAAGGAACGACTGCCAGGGCGGTCAAGACAAAGTCGGATCTAAAATATATAATCCATTCCACCAAGTGTAGTAATCCGTTGATCACCAACCATATCATTAATGTTCTCGTGTCACCCTATTTTAGTAGCTAGAAGAGTACCGATGCATCAGATCGAACACGCCACCCGCGACCACCCGTTCTCGGCACGCCGAGTCTCCCGAATCTGCTCCATCGCCCACTCCAAAATCACCCGCACGATATCGTCCATCTGCGCCTCCGTATTATCCGCATGCAGGACCAGCCGGACCCGTTCCTGGCTCTTGGGGACGATGGGGTAGTGTACAGCATTCACCCAGTAGTGGGCCTGGTGCAACCGCTCCGCCAGGAGGTTGGCCTCCCCCTCGCGCGTATCGAACGGGATGATCGGGGCGTGGAAGGATTCCGTGGCCCAGGTGGCCTCGGTGGGGATCCTCAGGATCCCGTGCTGTTGGACCGTTGACCAGTACGGGTTCTTGGCGAGCTGGTCGTGGAAGTAGGCGATGTTGTGCTGGAGTCGGGCGCGGCGCTGGCAGTATGCATTAGCGCTTGTCCGCATGGATGAAACCCGAGCAGCGTACATGCTCTCCCTCTTCGCTGGCCAGCAGATCATACCCCGCTTTGACGGCAGCAAGCACCGGAAAGGTCGGTCCGGTGGAGAAAATCACGTTCTTCGCATAATTGATAATATAGGACCGGATGATCGGACTGGCCAGAATCACCCCTATGAAAATACCAGTATTAGCACCGATATCGAAAGGGGGATGTTTTACGTACCCCCGCTGGACCCCAGTGCCTTGCCGCAGGTATGCAGCCGGAGCGGGAACTCGTTCTGCACGCCCAAGGCCGATGCATACCCCGACCCGTTGGGACCGAGAAGTCCATTGGAATGCGCTTCATCGATACTGAATACCGTGTTGCCGCGCGGAAGGATCTCCTGGGCCAGCTGGAGCATGCGGTGAATCGGTGGACTGTCCGCGTCCATGCTGTACACGGTCTCGAGGGCGATAAAGACGGATTGGCTTCCGTCGGCTATTCCGGGATGCGTCTCGCGCAGATCCCGAAGGCATTGTCGCAGCCCGGCGCAGTCATTGTGCGGGAACATCCGGGTGTCCGCGCGGCCCCGTCGCATCCCCTCGTGGATACTGGCATGCACGTATTGGTCGTAGAGGACGACATCGCCCGGCTGGGGAACCGTCGACCACAGCGCCACATTGGCATCGAAGCCCGAGTTGAAGAAGAGGGCCGACTCGGCCCCGTGAAACCGCGCGAGGTACGCTTCCAGATCGGCCAGATATTGGGTGGTCCCCTCGAAGACGCGCGTGGACCGGCTGCCCAAGGTGAACTGGGGATGCCGTCCCAGTTCCTGGAGAAAGGCGGTTCGGAGCACCCCGGACGAGGAAAAGGACAGACTGTCGTTGGATCCGAAGTCGGCCATGTGCGCGATCTGCTTGGGGTGGGCTGGCTTGATCAGTCGATCCTGCTCGGCGCGACTATGCAATTGTTCCTCGAGCTTGTCATGGAGCATGGTTGCTGTTGCCGAGGAATGAAATTGGAATGTCTTCCGGGGTGGATGTGGTGGTGAATAGTGGGGAGCAGAATATCCACTATAGAGGCAGTGAAATCCCTTTCGCGGCGGGTGGCAAGCGGTGGAAAGGGCTGATGGGAACGATAGCTTCATTGGCATGGTCGCACTTCAGTGTAGCGTATACGCTGCGAATGGCTTCGTTGCAGCCAACGGAAACACGATCAGTATGGCTGGGATCAGCACCGGGCACAGACATTTATATCGCAAGCCATGACCGCATGTACCACCATCCTAACCCATACGTCCAATCGCGAACCAGAGATCCTCCTCGGTTTCCATTAGGCTGATGTCGATCAGTTGCATCTTCATGATGCACGGAGGGAGCGGTCCCAGTGTTCCATCCCACTCCCAGCGATCGCGGGAAGAGCATCGGTCCTACTCTCACATGTTATGATGAAGGGTCTGTTCGCCTATCAGGATCTACAGACGAGTAGCGATGTGAAAATTCCGGATCGAAACAAGCGACTTCTTGGAAGATGAAAACAGGCCCGGCGATGGCTGCCAATGCCAGGTTGGACCCCGCTGGGAGATGGCTGGGTGTTGTTCCAGCCGAGAATCCTTACCGGCACGGATGACCAAGAGTGGTGAAGATGATGGGTAGGAGCCAATTCGAACTCAGGGCTCAATCCCCACGGAAGTAACTTTGTGACCGGTGGAGAGTCCCAGACGCAGAACGGTGTCGCCTTGATTTCCAGCATGCGTTGCAAGGCACATCAAGTCGACGAGATACGCATAACCACAATGGTAACTTAATCGATAGGTCTTGGCGAAGCGAACCGGGGATTGTACAGAGGCGACCAATGAAGTCCATTAGCGGCGGCTCTCTTCCCATGGAAGGGTTGGCCTTGAACCGTGGTTGACGGGGAAGGTTCAATACCCACCAGCGTCGTGGTTCATGCTCTAGAGTCAGGGATCACATACGGATGACATACCAATGTGGTGCTCTCGGTATAATCCGCGGAGATCACCCGAGAAGATCTACAGCGAGGGACTTTTGGATCATGGTACTATGGATCTTTCGGACACATCATCATCACGTCGCAGAAGTACTCACCAGACATCATCATTACATGTCCACTGGGGGATGGTGAGATATAAAGCGGTACTATGACGGGGACCATGTGGAGTGAACCTATCACGATCATCACACCCATTGAGCTTCTAGAATAATCAGCTCTCATACGATTGCTGTGGAGTCTATCTCTAACCCACTGCATGCCATCAGAGGTAAACATGGAGAACATCATCGTTGATCATGCCCGGACCGCGCCGGACGCAGTCGCGGTGCAGGATCAGGGCACGTCTCTTACCTACGCCGAGCTATTCGCCGAGTCAAGCACCCTGGCGCAAAGGCTGAGGGAAGCGACCAGCCCGGGAGACACCATCGGGATTCTCCTGGGCCCCGGGGTCAAGCAAGTCATTGCGCAGTTGGCCGTGCGCCTGGCCGACGGTGTCTGTGTCCCCATCGAACCCTCCCTCCCCGAACGGCGCCTCACGGACATGCTGCAGGATGCCGAGGTCCAGCACATCATCACGGAGGAGGGACCGCAGGACTGGCCCGAGTTCCACCGGATGGACTTTGACATCGGCCAAAGCCGACCGGCCACCACGTCTCCGAACGCACCCGTCAACATCACCTCAGAGCACAGCCATCTTCTCTTCACGTCGGGCTCCACGGGCCGGCCCAAGCCGGTCCAGATCCCCGCGGGCGGGATCCTCCACCTGGCCACCCAGACCCCGGCCACGCCATTGTCGGCCGATGACCGGGTGGCATCATTCAACAACCCGGGGTTTGACCTCAGTCTGTTTGAGATCTGGGTCACGCTGATCGCGCGGGCCACGATCGTGGTCGTGCCACGTCCGACTGCCACCGATCCGGGGGCCATGCGGTCCTTCCTCCGCGCGCAGGAGGTGAGTATCCTGATCATCACGGCGGCCTGGTTCAATCTCGTGGCATCCGACCGGGGCGCCTTCCAGACTCTTAAGCATGTGCTCACGGCCGGGGATGTGGCCAACGTGCAAGTGATGCGACATGTGCTCGAACATAGCCCCCCGGAACATCTCTGGAATACCTACGGGCCCACCGAGTGTACGACCCTGGCGACGATGGTGGAGGTGACCCGGGAGGAAACGACCCGGGACCGCATTGGCATTGGGGGACCCGTGGGTCAGATGGAGGTCTGCTTGCTGGACCACGATTCAACCCCCATTCGCGAGAGTGGCCAGCCCGGCGAGATCTGCATCGCCGGGCCCCAGCAGACGAGCGGGTACCGAAATCGCCCGGAGGAGAATCAGAAGGGCTTTGTGTGCAAACCCCGCAAGGATTTCGGCCTGCCCGCCACGGACAACAGGCACCCCGACGAGATGGTTCGGCTGTACCGAACGGGAGACATCGGGGAATGGCGGCCGGGCCGGGACAGTCTCGACTTTGGGGGTCGGAGCGATACCCAAGTCAAACATCGGGGGTTCCGCGTGGAACTGGGCGAGATCGAGCGCGTGCTGCAGACTTCTGAGGGCATTCGAGATGCGGTGGTGCTCCAACCGCCTCCCCCGTCCGCGCAGGGCATGTCGATGTTGGTCAGCTTTGTGATGTTGGCCCAGGCGAGCCGGCTCTCGCCCGAGGAGATCCTCCAATTTGCGCGCGATCGGCTGCCATCCTACATGGTGCCCAACGTGGTGGACATCGTGAGCGAGTTTCCTCTCACCCCCCATGGCAAGGTCGATCGCAAGGCTTTACTGGAGACCCGACTGCACAACCTTCCACCCCAGAAATCCAACAATGGAGCCGAGGAGACAGCCCCGAGCCCAGACTACCGGACTCGGGTCCATGACTTCTGCAAGGACATCCTGGGTCGGACGGCACTCGACGACGGCGACGACATCTTCCAGCTCGGGGTCACGTCGCTCCAGGCGGCCGCCCTGCTCGCGTTGATCCAAGACCAGCTGGGGTGCAGCGTGTCCATGGAGGATCTCTTCCGTCATTCCACCGTGTCGGATCTGGTGCACCTGGTGGGCCAGATGGCCTCCCCGACCGATGCGCCCGATGCCACGCGACAATGGAGGCAGGATATCGATCAAGTCGACGGCATCGACGTGGTACCGCATTGGGAATCCGCGTGCGAAGGAAAGGTGCTCCTCACGGGGGCCACGGGCTTCGTGGGCGCCCATCTGCTGCATCATCTGTTGACGCGACCGACCGTGAAGCAAATCGCCTGTCTCTGCCGTCCCAGCCGGTCGCTGAGTGCGGCCGGGCGCGTGCAACGGGCCCTGGAGCGGTATGATCTCTGGACGGACTGCCAGGGCCAGCAACACAAACTGCTGATGATCGAGGGCGACCTGACTCAGGATCAGCTGGGGCTGGGGCCGGAGCGCTACGGCTGGCTGGCCGACTGGACCTCGATCATCTTCCATCTCAGGGCCAAGGTGAATTTCTGTCAGTCGTACCGCGAGCACTATGCCCCGAATGTGGTCGGGACGGGGAATATCCTGCGCCTGGCGGCCGCGGGCCGGCGCAAGGCGTTGCAGTACTTCTCGTCGATCGATGCGTGGGGACCCACCGGGTTTGTGCTGGGGACGCAGGAACTCTCCGAGGACGGCCCCCTGGAGCCCCATGCGCAGGCGCTGCGATACGATCTGGGATATGCCCAGAGTCAGTGGGTGGCGGAGGCCATGGTGCGTCGCATGCGTGACCGAGGACTGCCCATCGTCATCCACCGCCCCGGGTTCATCATCGGCCATGGGCGGACGGGCCAGAGCAATCCGGATGATTTCGTGTCGCGCCTGATTGTCGGCTGCATCCAGCTGGGGGTGTTCCCGGCGCTGGATCAACGGCTGGAGTATGTCACGGTCGACTATGTGATCGCGGCGGTGATGCACATCGCCGCGTCGCCGCAGTGTCTGGGCCGGTCGTATCATCTCCTCTCGCCGGACCGGCGGCGCTGCAGCCCATGTTCCGCGAGCGCGTCCTGGGCGATTTGACGCGCTGGGAGGCCAGCCAGTTGTCGCCCTGGTATCGCTGCGACCAGGCGGTCCAGGCCCTGCAGGACCGACCGGACCTGCAGTACCAGCCCTTGGACGCGGCCCTGCTGCAGCGGTTCATCGCGTTCTGGAATCGCAAAGGCTTCTATGGGATCGCACCCGGGCGATAAGAAGGAGGGGATTGTTGTCACATAACGCCCAATTCAGTCGCTTCGCGTCGGTCGAGTCCCCGCCGCGAGATGAATCGTCGCATCTCCCCGGCTGGACGGGACAGACCGCGACACCGCACCCACGTCAGCTGTCAACGTGTCGCATCCGCCTCGTCGCCGCCCGCCAGTGGTCCCCCAAGGCCCGATCCCGGCCAGCAGCTGCGGCCCCGCGGCGACTCTGCAGGTACGGGGTGAGGCATCGCTGCAGAGAATATCGGACAGGGGGCATCCTGGGGGACAAAAACCGAGACCAACACCGCCCCCAAAAGCAGTCGGGTCCGTTTCGTGAGGGGGAGAGAGAGAGAGAGAGAGGGGGGGGAAAGAGAAAGTGGATGTATCGCGGTTCCCCGTTGGCCTACGTAATGTTGCTAAGAATAGCTCCCGGGCGGGCATCTTCGGCTGATGACTGTAGTCTGTACGGTCTACGCAGGATTTAGGATTAGTTCGTACGGAGGATTGATTGCTTTTCTGCTTGCCGCCCGGCAATCTGCTGGACCGCCGCGATCATGGGGTCTTTGCAGTTGGCCCGGGTCGATCCGGGCGGTTCGTGAGGGGGGGAAAATTCAGTGATCTGGTGGTCCCGATGGTGGCGGGGGGGTCTGCAGAGATCAATAGAACCCTACGAGATACCATCACTTATCCTGTGTATCATCGTAGGATCGCGACCCATCCAACCAGGGTGCGAGACGCCCAATCTCGCCAAAACAAGCCTTTGGCGAAGCAGGTACTCCTGGCCGCCGTGCGACACGGGTGGTTACCGAGCGGCTACCATGGAAGTTGAAACGGTCGCCCTGAGCAGGGGGCTCCTAGCCGCCAATCAGGCGACTCCCACGTCAGAGATATGTGCCTCACCGGGGCACACCGGTCGGGGGATGACGTCGCGGGTTGGACTCTGCAACCATCGTAGAAAGCTGCAGCAGTACTATGGACAAACCCTAAGCTGAAGCCGAAGCCGACCAGTGGCGCCGCCTCCGAGCCGGGGTCTGACACGCTGCGGATCGCCCGGGGCGCCGCCCATTGGCCAGGTCTAAGACCTCGCCCCCGGGACGCTGGTTGGCTGTTCCGCTGCTGGCCACTGGAATAGTAGCCAGCGAGTACGTGGGCTTCAGACGCCTCGGTGGGGATGGTAGTGGGGGGGGGTCTTCAGTGGGCTATCAGTGGGCTATCAGTGGGTTGTCAGTGGGTGCTGGTCTCGGATCCCCACCGACGCCGCGGCTGGTGCTCGCTCAGATCCTGCCCGACACCCTGGGCGGGCCTGTTGCCTCTCGACGGCCCAGATGTTCCAGATGGCAAATTCATCCAGAATGACGGATGCCTCGGAGGAAGTGCCATGGGTTGGGCGGGCAGAATTCTTCCAGAAGGTACGAGGCCCGGTCCCTGTCGCTCCACCACGAGTCGTCGTACACAGTACCTCCCGTAGCTGCAACTGGGAATGTCAGCACCGCGCAGCGACTGGGCGAAACGCTCCAGCAGGTTCAGCATGGCGAGAGGGCCAATCAGGCCACCCTGATAGGGCGTTTCCTAATATAGCCGCCCCCGATAGATAGATACTGCGTCGAGCGAGAGGGTCGAACCGATGTCTTAGACGGCTGCTTGTTACTTGTTCCTTGTTCGACAGCCAGCAGGGCCCGGCAACCCCACCGCGGGTGAAAAGGTTTTAGATGGTCTCATGTCTCTCTTGTCAACCAGCCCCAGACCCCCAATCCATCTCTCGTCATCGTCGCACTGCTTCCAGTCGTGCTTCATTTCTCTCGTTTCAACCCTCGCTTGTGCTCTGTCTACCGTGTCTTTTCCCTCGTTTGTGTACCGTCGACCACGTATTCTTCCTTCGGGCATGTGGCATTATTGAATCCTCGTCGTGCGCGTTTGCAACCCCTAAGTGGCACCCGAGTGGTCGATCCCAGGCAACGGCCATCATGTTCCGGATGGACTGGCAGCGCGCGGCGCTGCTCATCCTCGGACTGCTGAGTGTCGCCGCCGTAGGCTGGCCCTACAACGAGTCTCTCGCGGATTACAACCTCAATACCAACGCCTCGGCCGCCGACCCTATCGACTATTGGGGCGAATGGCCCGATCACGACTATCATCCGTCGCCCTCCAACTGGCGCTTCCCCGTCTACACCATCTTCCTGGACCGCATCGCCAACGGCGATCCCACCAACGACAACATCAACGGCACCACCTTCGAGCATGTCATCGACTCCAACCAGATGCGCCACGGCGGGGACCTGGCCGGGTTGATTGACTCCCTCGATTACATCAAGGGCATGGGCTTCAAGGTGGGTGAACCCCCGGCCACATGCACTGACTCGATGACTGACCGACCCGTCTAGGCCATCTACTTCGCGGGGACGTACTTGATGAACCTGCCCTGGGCCTACGATGGCTACTCCCCCGTGGACACCACTCTCCTCGACATGCACCATGGTACCCTGGAGGACTGGCGGACCACCATCACCGAGATCCACAACCGTGACATGTACGTGATCGTGGACAATACCTTGGCAACGTGAGTACCGGCCCCGACGTCCCCCGGAGGATTCCTCTACTGACCCGGTATGCAGCCTGAGCAACCTGATCGGGTTCAAGGGCCACCTGAACGACTCGGCCGACTTTCTGGCGACGGAATACGAGGTCGAGTGGATCACCGATCGACAGTACGTCGATTTCCATTTCCACAACGAGTACAACGAAACGTGTACCTACCCCAAGTTCTGGAACGAGACGGGCTATCCCATCACCACGGGCGGCATCCAAGACCTGAAGGGCTGCTACAACAGTGATTTCGACCAGTACGGGGAACTGGAGGCCTTTGGCAATTTCCCTGACTGGAAGCGGCAACTCACCAAGTTCGCCTCGGTGCAGGATCGGTTGCGGGAATGGCACGAGCCGGTGCGCAATGTCATCACGCGGCATTCATGCATCCAGATCGCCAGTCTCGACGTGGATGGCTTCCGGTTTGATAAAGCCGTCCAGGCCACCCTGGAGCCCCTCGCCGATATCATCAGCGTCTACCGGGAATGCGCCAAGAAGTACGGCAAGAACAACTTCTTCCTGCCCGGGGAGATTACCTCGGGCAATACTTTTGGCAGTCTCTATCTCGGACGTGGTCGGCAGCCGAATCAGGTCCCCGACTCGGCGGACATTGCCGTCAAGCTGACCAACGATTCGGATTCCGAATACTTCCTGCGCGACGATGGCCTGCAAGCCTTGGATTCGGCCGCGTTTCACTACACCATCTACCGCTCGATGACTCGGTTCCTGGGCATGGATGGCAACCTCGTGGCCGGGTTCGACCTGCCCACCGATTTCATCGAGGCGTGGAATGGCATGTTGGAGACCAACGACTTCCTGAATGCCTTTACCGGCGAGCTGGACCCCCGACACATGTTTGGCGTGTCGAACCAGGATAACTTCCGCTGGCCGGCCATCAAGAATGGCACGGTGAAATACCTGCTGGGCCTGTACATCGTCACCCTGGAGCTGCCGGGCATCCCGTTGGTGCTCTGGGGCGAAGAGCAGGCGATGTATGTCTTCGATGCCACGGCCTCGAATTATCTGTTCGGTCGGCAGCCCATGACCTACCAGACGGCGTGGTGGACGCACGGCTGTTTCTCGCTCAACACATCCAAGTTCTACGACTTCCCCAATGACAAGGGTTTGAATGGCTGCAACGACATCACCGTCACCTACGACCAGCGCAACCCGGCCCACCCCCTGCGCAACCTGATGAAGCGCATGTTCGAGATCCGGGAACAGTACCCCGTGGCCAACGATGGGCTGTATCTCGAGACCCTGTCGCAGCTCACGCATAACGTCTACCTACCGGGCTCCGAGTCGACCCCGACCGTGACGGGGCTGTGGTCGGTGTTGCGCACCTACTATCCGGGCGTGCAGCAGAATGCCACCCAGAGCAATGGCACGCTGTGGCTCGTGTATCAGAATGGCAACACCACCGAGACGTACGGCACCAGCTGCACCAACAAGTCCGCCGCCTTGCTGGCGCCCTTTGACTCCGGCAAGACGCTGAAGAACCTCTTCTATCCCTACGACGAGCTCACGCTGGAAGATGGGCCCGACGGCAGCTCCTACGGCTGTGCCCGCAACATGACCTTGTATCCCTGGGAATATCGGGCCTACGTCGAGGCGGCCAGCTTCCAGGAGCCCCGACCGACCGTCACGGAGTTTGTCCCCGGCCACGATGCCCGCTTGATCTCCACCGCGGACACGGGGGAAACCCTCGACATCCGACTGGGCTTCTCCCAACCCATGGACTGCGATGGGCTCACCCAGGCCATCTCCCTGAACTCGACCACGACCAAGGGCATCACCGCCTCGTTCGACAGCTCCAGTGTCACCTGCGCCAACATCACCGCCCGCACCACGAGCAATAACTTCATCGGCGAGGTCCCCACGGTGTGGACGTGGTCCACGACGTTGAAGAACGTCTACCACGGCGTCCACCAGCTGACCGTTAACAATGTCACCAGCACGAATGGCACCCACACGAATGCGGTCGACAAGTTCCTGTTCCGGCTGGGCACGGAGACCAACCCGCTGATTTCCCCCTTGGCCAACTACTCCACCACCCTGGTGCACAAGTCCGACAACGGCAGCTACTACATCCAGCATGATGCCGCGGGCGCCGACCAGTTCCGCTACTCGACCAGCTTCGGCAGCAGCTGGTCCAACTGGACCGCGTACACCGGCGGCAACACGACGGTCGACTTCACCTCCTGGTCGGGCACGTCCGCGCAGAAGTGGCAGGGCACGCATGTCCGCGTCCAATACTTCTCCCGCCTCACGGGCAGCAGTGACTATCTCCAGGAAGGCGATTACGGCTGGAAGGATGGCGTGGCCCGCCGGTTCCCGCACATGTGGTGGAACGGCCCGTACAATCAATATGGATACGACGCCGGACTGGACAGCAAGATGCGGTTCGATGAGGACGATCTGCGCTGGAAGTACGATTTCGTCTACGAGTGGCCCTCGGTGGGTCAGATCAGCATCTGGGGCACGGACGAGGATGGCACGCCCGACACGACGGGCGTCTATGGCGACGTGGATAACTCGTCGGTCGTGCAGCGGCTGCCGCCCTCGTACCTCTCGTCCAACGTGATCAACATCACCAACACGCCCCCCTTCCCGCATCTCGGCTGGACCATCGCCCTGAACGATGCGAACCTGCGCTATGAGTTGATCCCCGTCGGATCGGGCTGGGCGCAGCTGGTGCTGTACATCCTGCTGTGGGTCGTCCCGATCCTGATGGCCCTGGCCGGGGTGTTCATCTTCATCCGCACCTTCTACCGCGTCCAGCTGAACACGGATGGCAACGTGGCCAAGGAGGACAAGCTGCCGCTGCTGGTCTGGCGCCGGCTGCGGGGGCAAGCCGCCGGGGACGAGCAGTCGGATCGGGCGCTGTCGACCGTCGGGGCCGCCCCGACGGCGGGCATGGCCCTCGCCGGCGCCCCCGAGAAGCGGCGCACGGTCTTGATTGCCACCATGGAGTATGACATTGAGGATTGGAAGGCCAAGGTGAAGATCGGTGGGTTGGGGGTCATGGCCCAACTCATGTCGCAGCACCTGGGCCACCAGGATCTCATCTGGGTGGTGCCCTGCGTGGGGGACATCGAGTATCCCCAGGACACCCCGACGGAGCCCTTCATCGTCACCATCCTCGACAACCCCTACCTGGTCCACGTGCAGTACCACGTCCTCAACAACATCACCTACGTGCTCCTGGACGCCCCCGTCTTCCGCCAGCAGACCAAGGCGGAACCCTACCCGCCGCGCATGGATGACCTGGACAGCGCCATTTACTACTCCGCGTGGAATCAGTGTATCGCCGAGACCATCAAGCGCTTCCCGTCCATCGATCTGTACCACATCAACGATTTCCACGGCTGCCTGGCGCCGCTGTACCTGCTCCCCACGCGCACCATCCCCGTGTGTCTGTCCCTGCACAACGCCGAGTTCCAGGGTCTCTGGCCCCTGCGCAACCCGCAGGAGAAGAAGGAGGTCTGCTCCGTCTTCAATCTCCCCGTCGAGACGGCCACCAAGTACTGTCAATTCGGCACGGTGTTCAACCTGCTGCACACGGGCGCGAGTTACCTGCGCTTCCACCAGCGCGGCTTCGGCGCCGTGGGGGTGTCCAACAAGTATGGGAAACGCTCCTGGGCCCGGTACCCGATCTTCTGGAGTTTGGAGAAGATTGGCAGTCTGCCCAATCCCGATCCCACCGACACGCGGCCCCTGGAAGAGACCCCCGACGAGAAGGCCTTGACCCGGTCGTACGAGGAACGCATCACGGACAAGCTGGCGGCCCAGCGCTGGGCCGGTCTCACCGAGGATCGCAACGCCGATCTCCTGGTGTTCGTCGGTCGCTGGTCGAAGCAGAAGGGGGTCGATCTGATTGCGGACGTCATCCCCGCCGTCCTGTCCGCCCGGCCGCAGGTGCAGCTGATCTGCGTGGGCCCCATCATCGATCTCTATGGCCGCCTGGCGGCCATCAAGCTGGACAAGATCGCCTCCATGTTCCCCGGGCGCGTGTTCTCCCGGCCCGAATTCACCGTCTTGCCGCCGTGCGTCTTTTCGGGGGCGGATTTCGCCCTGATCCCCTCCCGCGACGAGCCCTTCGGATTGATTGCGGTGGAATTCGGGCGCAAGGGTGCGCTGGGCATCGGATCCCGCATTGGTGGTCTCGGCCAGATGCCGGGTTGGTGGTACACGGTGGAGTCGGATGCCACGCGCCATCTGTTGCACCAGCTGCGGACCGCCATCAAATCCGCCCTGGACTCGACGCCGGAGACCCGCGAGCAGATGCGCGCGAACTCGGCCAAGCAGCGGTTCCCCGTGCTCGAATGGATCCAGAAACTCGAGACCCTGCAACGCACCTCGATGCAGATCCACCACGACAAGAACAAGGCCACCGTGGCCGGCGCCATCCCGGAGTCGCAGAGTGCCTGGGACCTGCAGCAGAGCCTGCGGTATTCGACCCTGGCGCTGCCGGGGCTGGCCCAGTCGCGCGCCTCGGGGGTCGACACGCCCCCGGAGACCGTCATCGAGCACGCCCAGTCGCGCCTGCAAGAGCTCCAGGCCGCCGAGGGCACCAGTCGGGCCAGCAGTCTCAACCGCCAGCTCTCCCTGGGCCGCCGCGCCGGACCCGGTCAGGGCCGGCACCGCCGGACCACGCGGCAGCTGTCGACGCACTCTCCGGGTGACGAGACCACCGACGCCGAGGAGGAGGAGGACGACGACGAGCATGCGACGCCCCCCGTGGACTACATCTCCCCCGAGGAGGCGATGCGGGCCGTCACCAACACGCTGGCGCCCGGCAGCGACAGCCGCGCCAGCACCAGCACGCCCCCGCTGGCCCCGCCGCCCGCCGTCCGCAGTTCGCGCCCGGGGTCGCCGTACCCCGTCTCCCAGGTCTCGTCCCCGGGCCTGGCGCCCCCCATGGGCCACTTCCGCACCGTCTCCATGCTCTCCTTGCCCTCCGTGGTGGGCGATCACACCTCCTTCGGGGGCGAATCTGCCGCCACCCCCCAACCCGTCTTCGAGCTGCAGAAGGTCGACCCGACCTTTACCGATAGCATGGGCCACTTCACCCGGCGCTTCGAAGATCTCCTGACCCATCTGAATAAGAAGAACTCGCTCACCGATTGCTGCATCGAGACGTACCTGATGAAGAGTGAGCGGCAGTTCTACTATGACTACAGCGACGCGCAGTTGAAGAAGCAGCCCAAGGATCGGGCCATTGCCATCCCCGGCGCGGACACGCCCGACGGCCGCGACTCGTACGCCAGTGGCACCGCGGACTCGGACGAGACCGACGAGATCGATCGCTGGCTGATGCAGCTGGGCTATCGGCGGCCCATGGTCATCCAGCGCTTCATGCGGCGCCGCATCGGCAATTGGCCCATCTACTCGCTCTTCCTGGGGCTGGGCCAGATCATCGCCACCAACTCGTCCCAAATCACCCTGCTGGTCGGCCAGGTCGGTGAGACCGCCATCAAGGTGTACGTGATTGCGGCCATCTACTGTGTCTCGTCCATCGCCTGGTGGTTTATCTATCACCGGTGTCCGGCCGTGTTCTCGCTCACCCTCCCCTGGTTCATCTACTGCCTGGCCTTCCTCATCATCGGCGTCTCCCCCTTCGGCATCACCTCGGTGGGTCGGGCCTGGGCCCAGAATGTGGCCGCGGGTGTCTATGCCATCGCCTCGTCGAGTGGTTCGCTGTTCTTCGCGCTCAACTTCGGTGACCAAGGGGCCGTGCCCGTCAAGGACTGGATGTTCCGCGCCAGCATGATCCAGGGCATCCAGCAGATCTACACCGTGGCGCTCTGGTTCTGGAGCTCCAAGGTCACCGCCGCCGAGGTCGGTGGGGTGTCGGTGGCCGCCTTGAGCTCGTGGCGCCTGACGGCGGTGGTGATGCCCATTGCGGCGCTGTGCTTCGGCATTGGCGTGCTGCTGGCCCTGGGGCTGCCCAACTACTACCGCCAATCCCCCAGTCGCATCCTCTCCTTCTACACCTCCCTCTTCCGCCGCCGCATCATCCTGTGGTTCTTCTTCATGGTCATCGTCCAGAACTGGTTCCTCTCGGCGGCCGTGGGTCGCAACTGGTCCTTCCTGTGGTCGTCCAAGCACGCCAAGCCGTGGGAGATTGTCATCCTCATCGTCGGCTTCTTCATCGTGTTGTGGGTGCTCATCCTGTTTTTGTTCCGGGCACTGTCCAAGGAGCACAGTTGGATCCTGCCCGTCTTCGGGTTGAGTCTGGGGGCCCCGCGCTGGGCGCAAACCTGGTGGGGCACGTCTAACATCGGCTACTATCTGCCCTGGGCCGGCAGTCTGGTGTCCGGCTCGATTGCCTCGCGCTGCCTGTGGCTCTGGCTGGGCGTCCTCGATGAGATTCAGCAGGTCGGGCTGGGCATGATCCTCCTGCAGACCATGACCCGCGTGCACGTCTGCTTCGTCCTGTTGGCCGCGCAATCGCTGGGATCCATCGCGACGATCTGCGCCCGTGGATTTGCCCCGAACAAGATCGGACCCGCCAGTATCTCCCCGGATGTGGGCACATCGGTGGATAAAGTTGGCAATGCCTGGTTCTGGATCGCCCTCTTCTTCCAACTGCTCGCCAGGTAAGCCCCTCGGCCCTCGTCTTCCGCTTCCCTCTACTAACTCGGATGACAGCTTTGGATTCCTTCTGTTCTACCGGCGAGAACAGCTCAACCGGCCTTAGGTCCTGCCGTCTCGCCTGGTCGGACTCGTGGGGGCCCTCCGCCGCCACGCCGTAATGATGTTCGAGGATGATTGCTGTGCATAGATTTCTATAGACTTGCTGTTTCACCTTCCCCACCCCGAGGACTTGCATCTCTCGGGGTTTATGTATAGTATCACACCTAATGGGAATCCATTTGCCGTACCAATCACTCAGTCCGGTCTAGTAAAGTATCTTGCAAGGAGACACCAGACAACCCTACAGATGAGTCACGTGATCCATATGCCTCGGGCTGGGCGTCCCCCGCATTTCGAGGGTCCTGGGACTGATCCACCAGCAGCATTCACGATTCCATCGATGACGCCTACAATGAGACGCAGTCCAGGTGGGTGCTTTGACCACTCCCTGATGGGCCTTGCTGAGCGGCCCGCGTAGCGCCACACACGAATGTCTTCCGGGCCCGTGAACGCGGCCGCCGTCGGAAGGGGAAATGCGATGGCGGGTGGCCCTGCGAGGTGTGCCTCAAGGCGCCGACCCAATGTGTCTCCCGGGAATCGGCTCGCCGCCGATGGGTGAGTACTGCGCCCGTCGGCCCCAATGCCTCGCCGAGTCTCCCCATCCCGGTGCCATCGCCCACCGTGCCCCTCCGCCAGATTCTAGATTTTTATCTAGATTATAGTGGGGTGGGTACGGTGGATTATACTTGTTATTAGAGTGGTCAATAGTTAAAACACCACTTAAGAATCAAGCAAGCTCTTAGAAAAAGATTTTTTGAAAAAATAAGAAAATAACTTTCTATTTTAATTTAAATCTTAATATGAATTTTATTTAGATATTGATTAATATAATCTATAAATTGTTACCAAGGCAACGTTCATATAATACATATCAGTCTTGAGGAATAAACCACAATATAAAAGATAACTTGAAAATAACTTTCCCGAGGTATTATTTATATGATTATATAATGTTCTAGTTTCCATCTGTGATAGAATGGTTCAGATGGAGGTCTTATCTTATCGACACCGGCCCAACTGATGTTCTGGTCCTGTAGTAATTAGTCCAGCCAGTGTAGTCCAGGTCCTTATAATAATATGCTAGGATAATCATGGTAATTATAAAATTATTAATAATAATCTAAGATTTTTTTATTTATTATAAAATAATATTTCTCAGTATGGGACTACTGATCCTTCAAAAATTAGTCTTCTTTATAAATATAGGCTATATTATTATTATTAATAGAATCTTATATATTTAATAGTTAGTTTCTTATCTAATTAATAAATTTTCTATTTTAATAAATAGATCCTATTACATTCTAATCCTTCCTTTCAACTATCTAAGAAAAATACTATCTCTTAAAAATCATGAAGAAATAAAATTAGTTAGTGACTAAATTAATTTAGAATTATTATTAAATACTATTCCTACTATTAAAGAAATCTAATAATTAGAAGATTATATTCATCAGTTAAAGTAAGTTAATAATTTATAATAAAAAATAATCTATCTCCAGAGAAATTATTCTTTTAATAAAATATTATTTAAATATTCTTAATCCTCTTCCGAATCTAATAAGGAAAAAGAAAAAATTAAGTTTAAAAATATTTCTTACTTTATATTAAACTTTAATTTCTAAAAATATCAGGAATAAATTACTAATCTAGAATATATATTTTAGAGAATTTTTAGAAAATATTCTATTAAAAAACATAAGATTCTTACTACTATTAGCTATATAGATCTAGTATGTAGGTAGAAATAATATTATTTTACTAATAATAAAAATCTAGAAAAAAGATAATTACTTAAAAAATTATAATCCTAATTTAAAGACTGGATCCTTATTTTAATTTAAAATATTATAATTCTTTAATTAAATATTATAATCTAACTTAAATAAATTTACTAGTAATATAGTTAAGATCCAAGAAAATTTTATATCTATCTTAATATCTTAGAATAATATTTTTCTTATTAGGCTAAAAAAAAAAAAACTCTATTATATTTTATTAAACTACTATTAAATTTAAATTATTATATTTAAGAACACATTCCGCACCTACCTAAAAAATAAGAAAAAATAATATTTACTATTATCTATTATTATAAATTATAAAATAATAAAAGAAAATATAAATAAAATAATAATCAGTCTAATAATTACAGACTATATAAATAGATTTTAATTTATTATAATAATAAATTTATTATAAATAATACTCTAAATCGCAAGGGAAACCCTATTAAAAAAACTAATAAATAATTATAATATTTTATATATAATAATATTAAATATCTTATAAACCATTATCCTATTAAAAATAGAAAAATCTAATTTATTAAAGCCTATCAGTTCTCATCAGAACTAGAGAGAAAAATAGAGAAATTAAAATAGATTCTATAATTTTAATTTCTTTACTTATAGTAGAGATTACTCATCACTTTTATATTTCTATTTATATTTAAAATAATCTTAAAACCTTTACGGACCTAAACAGTTATATTAAAATAAATATTATTAACTATTAATTTATTAAAATTTATAAATTTTAATATATTCTAATTACTACATCTAGAATTAAAGTAATTAATTAAATTAATATTCTTATTTATAATATATAAAAGATCTTTATTATTATTACTAATTTATAAAAAAGCACCCGAACTTTTAAATAATATTATATAGAGATTAATAAAGACCCTCAACTAAATAACAGTCTTATTTTATTATTAATAATTACGCTTTAAAATCTATATATTATCTTATTAGTATAGAATTATTTATAATAATTTAATATATTATCTATTTCTTTTCTTTTTACTATTAAATTCACTAGAATAACTCAAAATTTAGTAAAAGTATATACTATTATTAAACTTTTTAAAGATATTTAACTATCTAAAAAAGAACTTTATAATCCACTATTAAATCTAGAATTATTACTAATCAAACTTTATTAATTCTGTAATATTTTTTTTATAAATTTCTTTTAATAATTATCTCCTTATAGTCCTATAGACTATACTATTAAATTTAAATCTAATAAAATACTTCTATATAGTCCTATATACCCTCTTTTAAAAGCTAAACTTAAAGTCTTATAAAAATATATTAAGGAAAACCTGAAATTAAATTAAATATAGTTTTTTAAGAATCCTACGGGAGCCTCTATTCTTTTTATATTTAAAAAAAATAGTAGTTTATACTTCTACGTAGACTATAAAAATCTTAATAAAATTTCTATTAAAAATTATTATTCTTTATCTCTTATTTCAGAGATCCTTAACAGAGTTTCAAGTAGTAAATACTTTTTAAAAATCAATATTAAAAATATCTATTATTAAATTTATATTAAAGAAAGAAATAAATAAAAGATAGTATTTTATACTTAATATAGTTACTTTAAGTATATAGTCATGCTATTTAAATTAATTAATACTTTAATAATTTTTTAAAATTATATATATACTACACTCCATAGACTTCTTAATAACTTTTATATAATATATCTTAATAATATTCTTATTTTTTTACTAAATAAAGAATCCCATATAAAATATATTTATTAAGTGCTAAAAAAACTTCAAAAGATTAAACTCTATATAAAATTATTAAAATACTTATTTTATTAATTCCAAGTCGAATTCCTAGAATATATTATTAATACTAATAGTATATCTATGGATCCCCACTAAATAAATAATATTATTTTATAGCTATTATCTAAAAGTTATTATAATATTTAAATTTTTTTAAGATTTTATAACTTTTATTAATAATTTATCTAAGATTATTTCTATATTATATTACCCCTCACTTCTTTACTTCATAGAATAATTAATAAATAAAAACTTAGAAAAATCAAATTAAACCTATATAAATAAATAGCTTTTCACTATCTAATTATTACTTTTTAATAAATATTTTTATTAATATATTTTGACCCCACAAAACCCCAACATTTAGAAATTAATATATTTAAGAAAAGAATAAATAAAATTTTATTCTAACTTAATAATAAGGATATATTCTATTTAATTACTTTTTAATCTTATAAGTTCTCCGGTACTAAACTAAATTATAGTACTCTAAATTAAAAATTATTTATTATTATTTACTCTTTTAAATAATAGTACTAATATCTCGAGAGAACTTTTTAAATAATTAAAATCCTATCTAACTATTCAAACTTATAATCTTTTATATACTAGACTAGAATTAATGGGAGATAAGCCCAATAACTTATAAATTTAATTTTTTTTAATTTTATTATTAAATAGAATAAAAAAATTAAATCTAATAAATAAATTTTCTAAAATATTTATTAAATCTTAGATAGAATCTACATCTCAAAAAAAATTTTTAATCCTAATTTAAAAATATTTCATAGATATGTTATCCCTAATAATTAAAAATTTAATAAATATAAAATCTTAATTTAAATTTTAAAATATATAAGATTACTCTGGATTTAATACCCACATAGTATTAAACTTAAAAAATCTTAATAATTAAGTTGGTATAAAGACAGCTGACTAAACTACTTAAAAAAATTTATTTTAAAAAAAATTTATTCTCTAATCTATAGTAATATATATATATACTGTAAAAATTCTGAGACGGCCGTTCAACACAGTAAAATGAGGTCGTATTGGTGCTAACTACTCTAGAACTTTAAGCGTAAGGAGGAAAAAAGGAAAACAAGAAGTGTTGTGGGCGCTCGCTTGAAGAAAACGACAGTAAAGCAAACGAAACAAACGTGGTCACATGATCCTGAACGAGGCCCTGAACGAGGCTGCCGTCACATCACCCCCCTGTTTAGACCTGACTGCCCTCAGTCAGGGGAACGTTGTCATCGTCATGATCCGCAGCGAATTCGTCGTTCTCCGCGGCCGTGATCCATATGGGGAGTCGTTTAGGTGGTCCGGGACGGTCCGGATAACGGG